GGCCCCCCCCCCCCCCCGTTGTATTTTTTCATAAACCTGCATTTGCTCCTGTATCAACTGTTTTTTAGACACTGATTATACCTCTTTTACAATGGTACTGTTACAGAGCCTTGCACTAAGTAGATCCTGAATAAATATTTGTCAAATGAAAGAACAGAGCCAGTGATTATTTAGGGGGGCATTTTTATTTCTGTGAAATCCCTTGTAAATTCTTAGTTAACTTGCTTAAGTAAGTAAACAAAAGAAGTTAGAATACTTGATAGAAGTATTTAGGCCCTAAACAGTTTGAGCTCCTAAGTCCTCCACATAAGAACAATCAGATCCCATAAATAGTTTATGAACAAGGGAAAGACAATGCTTTTTTTCCTCCCTTCATTCCTTGAATTTGTTGTTCATATTATAGGTGTTTTGGAAAATGAAGTTTGCTATAATCTGATTTTTATCAAGGAAAATTAGTTTCAGTTTATTCAGTATGGAAAGTAAACAGTTTACACACTTTAGAATTAATTTTTCCTGGAATAACTGAGGACAGAATTTTGAAGTTTGAATTCTATGATAATGAAATGTGAAAAAAAGTAGTTGTTTATTTACAGTATGTGTTGTAATTGAACACTTTTCAAATATTCATATAGATTGAGAATAATGCACTTTCTTTTGTGCTTAAGACATTTAGGATATATCAGTGAAGGTGCTTTAGTTTGTCATATAAAATAAGAAATTAATGGGAGGAATTAAAAGTGAAAATCTGTGTGAAAGAACAATTTAGTGATATATTATAAATGAAAACAGGGACGGAATCACTCAGTTTCCTCATCTGTGCAATAAGTTGGCTGGAGCAGATGATTTCAGAAGTCTCTTTCAGTTCCGATAGTATATGATTTTGTAGAGCAGTAGATCTCAATGCTGGTTGTGCATCAGAATCATGTGGGGAACTTGTGAAAATGTTGCAGTCCAGTATATTCTACAGATGAAATTATAATCTTCAGAGGTGTGGTACAGGCACACATATATTTAAAAACCATCACAGCCTCAGTTGAGAAGCACCGTTATGGAGGGAAATTTGTTTCAAATATTTATTGAGCACAACTGTATATTGGTCAATGTTCTGAGGAGTCAGTGGTGAGCAAAATAGACTTGGTAGACCTGTCCCTGTAGAGTATATAATCTAGTGGAGCAACAGACATGATCACACAAATAATTATAAACTATAAATGTTTAATTATAAGCTATAATAAGTGCTTAATTATAAACCATAATAAGGAAATGAACAGAGTAATGTAACAGGAGAATCTTTGTAGTTTTAGGAGTGATAGATTCCTGAGGAAGTAACATTTGAGTTGAAATAGGAAGGGTGAATAGAAGTTAACTAGGTGAGGTTGGATGGGAAAGGGGGACAAAGGTGTCTTGACAGCAAGAACAAAATATGAAGACCTTGAAGTGGGAAAGAGCATGCTGTATTAGAAAAACTGGAAGGAGGCTAATGTGGCTGGAAGGCAGAGTGTGGGGTCAGAGTGGTGGGGGATTGGATTCAAGAGGACCAGGTGAGGACCAGGATACGCAGCACTTTTAGGCTGCTTTGGATTTTATAATTTACTATAGCCACAATGGGACATGATTGGAGTTTTTAAATTCAAAAGGGAGTGATTAGTTTAGTTTGAAAGTTACATTTGTCAACAAGGTAGAGAATAGATTAGAGAATTTAGTGGTCTGGGAAAGAAATGGTGGTTGCTTAGTGGCAGTGGATGAAAACAGGTGTGTTACATGACTTAGTGATTGATTGGGTATTAGAACTCAAGGATTCATTTCTTCAGTTGGTATTAATTGAGCACCAAAATGGAGTGATACACCTTGGAATCTAAACTAGATGGGAAAGTGAAGACAGGAGGGAGCTAGTAAATACACAGAATGAAGAGGGACGAATGGAATGGAGATGATGATGAGATCAAAGAATAGTTGTAGGTGAGTGGTCAAAAAAGCAAGCTGGAAGGGTAGATAGTAGGTTGTGGTCAGGAGTGACATATTTGAATTAGTGATTTTGGAGATGTAGTAGTTCCAAGTGATGGCAAGGTACAGGGTGTGGTTGAATGACATGTAGTGGAGAAGGTTGGAAAAGAGGAAATTAGAGAGTTGAGAGTTCAGGTATTAGATAGGGTATACTTCGGACTTTGAAAAAACTCAGTATAATGGTTAGAATGGGGTGGAGAGGAAAACCGAGCAAAGGGAATGTTGGAGAGGATCCAAGAGATTGGTAGATGAAAGCCACAGGAGAAAGAGGGTGATAAGTCTGACTGGCCTGGGCCTTGACAGAGCAGGGGATATTTACAAGATAATTGGGGAGCAGTGATATAGATGCTGTATTGGGAAGCAGGGAGGACAAAAACCCTACCATGTAACTTTAAGGAATTTGAGAACGTGAAAATAGCCAAAGCTAGAGGTGATAAAGAAAATCTTTCTGAGAAGAAAGAGATGGGACAACATAGCAGAGTTGTTGTTTATGGATGGAACATAGTTGAATGGGAAGCAGAGAGAGATGGAGAGCTGGATCAGAGGCAAGGCCAATAGGGTGGATAAATGACAGGAGAAAAGAACAGGGTCTCATATTTTCTGTGTTAGATGATGAAAATAGAAAATGGAAAGTAAATTAGGCCCTGGCTGTCTTTTTTGAAGAGGGTTGCCAGTGGCCCTTAAAGACTGAAGATTTGGATCACCAGCTTGAAGTAGTTTTAGATCAGCAACTGTGTTTCTAGTGTACAAGGCCCTAGGAGGCTCTAGGCCTAGGGGAGGTGATCCCAGTGTTTGGAATAACAGTAGCACTTTTCCTATTTAAATGAGAATATATAGAACAAACATGCCTGTTCTCAGTAAACAGCAGAATTGCATTTGAAATCAAAATGAACGTGCAGTAAATGTGATAAGCAGTAAACAGTTGCTAAGTGTAGCATAATAGACTCTTAAATGCCTGTTCTAACTTATATTCTGCAAGAGGAGAAGGAGTGATGATGAATATTGAGAGATGTTTTTAAGAATGTAAAATAAGTACTCAAGGACTGTGCTGCTCAATGTGAGGTCTGTGAACGAGTAGCATCAACATCATCTAGGGAGTAGAAATGCAGAATCTCAGCCCTCACTCCAGCTCTGCTGAATTACAGTCTTTATTTTAACAAGATCCTCAGGAGATTCATATTCACATAAGAGTTTAAATAGCACTGCTCTAGTCAGATACACTATTTCACACTCTTATTAAATTATCTAGCAGAATATTTTTAGGCACACCTATTGTGTAAGATGATTAGAAAGATGAATTTCTGGATGGTGACAGTTCAATAGAGATAAGAGCATGGGGCTGTGGATATAGGTTGTATGGCCATTCTAGTGAGTTATTTACCTCTCTGTTCCTCAGTGTCCTCATCTGTAAAATAAGGTTAATAATAGTACCTACCCAGTTCAATAGAGATAAGAGCATGGGGCTGTGGATATAGGTTGTATGGCCATTCTAGTGAGTTATTTACCTCTCTGTTCCTCAGTGTCCTCATCTGTAAAATAAGGTTAATAATAGTACCTACCTTATAGGATTTTGTGGCAATTAAATGAGGTTTTATATATATATATATATATATATATATATATGTGTGTATGTATATATATCACATAGCACTGGTCTAGCATACAATGAGCAATTTATAAATGTTAGTCACTATTTTGATTATGATTGTTATTAGATGTATCAGGTATGCCAAATGCATTTATTTTTTCCTCTTTTTATTTTTACCTCATCTGATGAGTTAAGGCATTGAGGATTGTGTGTGTTTTTTTTTTTTTTTCTCTGTAAATTCAATATTTGTGGTGATTTGCTTAGTTTTTGTGGAATTTTGTAATTGGCATTTCAGTGAAAATAATTTATCATCACCAATATGAATTAGTTAAATTTATTCAAGAGTTTATGATTATTATTGTATTGCAGAAATGAAAGCAAGTGCGGGAAAATAAGATGTTTACTGTGAAATCTCAATGAGCGGCGCTATGATACAAGGAAGAAGGGTAACACTTACAGGAACCAGCCTTAGGCCTCTGAGGCTGCAGGTGCAGATTCGGTGTGCTAGTCCCAACTCTGCCTTTACCTGGTTGCATTTGTGTGGCCAGGTTATTTGCTTAGTTTCTCAGTAGGTATAGACAGAGGTTTAAGAGTTCGCATGGAATGTTTGAGGTCAAATCTGGATTTAAATTCTAGTTAAATTCCCTTAGTTACTTATCTTCTGATCCTGATATTGACTTGAAAGTGTTGCTGTAAGATTAAATAAATTATGTGTATATATATGCCTTGCACTGTGCCTGGTCTGCTGCTTAAGGCAAGTTTCTTCTCCTTAAGTCTTAATTTTTTTTTTTTTCAAAATGGGGATTTGAAAATACTCATCTTTGTGAGATACAACCAGAAAATTCAGAGAAAAACAAATGCAAATGGCCTTTAAACATATGCAAAGATGTATAGCTTTGCTCATGAGAGAAATGCAAATTAAAACTACACTGAGCTACTAGATGTCAAAAATCCAAAACTTTGACAACTTTGGTTGAGTTATGGAAGAATGGGTACTCTGATACCTTGATGGTACAACCCGTATAGAGGAAAATTTAATAGTATCTAGCAAAATTGCGTACCTATTTACCCTTTGACCCTACAATCCCACCTTTAGGAATCTATCCCAGATATACATTGGCAAAAATTTGCCAAACTATAAAAGCAAAAACACTGGAAACAACCCAGCTGTCTTTCAGTAGATGCTGATTATGTAAAATATGGTGCATCCAGACAGACGGGTTTTAACAACTGTAGAAATGATTGAATAGTATCTCTAAATACTGATCTCTAATATATGTACCAGTACGTACGTGTATGAGTGGTGTATGTGTTTAAAGAAAAGAACAGAACAGTATATACTAGGCTACTCTTTGTCTTAGAAAGGAGAAAAAAATATGTTATAGAAGGACAACCCAAAACTAATAAATATGGTTACCTGTGGGGGATGGATAGAACAATGAGGGAACAAGGTTAATATTGCAAACTAGATTTGTCTGAGTGTTCCTTGTTTTGTAAATTAAATTTTGAAACCACATAAATGCTTTAAATAATTATAAAGCAAAATTAAATAAACATGAAACCAAACAAAAAAAGAAATCCCTAAAAATTAAAAGCAAAATGAAGCAAATGTCTATCAATGTATTGAGTAGGTAGTTTAATCACATGGAAAAGAATTATTTTTCTGTTCATCCTTATTGGAATATATTCTAAAGATAAGAAAATTAAGCTGTGTTTAGTAATTTTATTGGTAGTAATAATGTTGGATTTCCTATTCTGAAACTATATGTAATTTATATGTTTTTATATATAATAGGATTATATTAATGTCATTAGAAACAAGAATTTTTATTGTAACAGAAAGCAGATAAAAATATGCAACAAAATAAGTAAAAAGACTTTACAATTCTAAATTCATATTGGAAATAGCAGTACGAGCTCCTGATGTAGTTTCTCCTGAAAAGGCATAGAAAGTAACCAACCTTTGGTGCCAGATCATGTACTGTAAATACAAGTAAAGCGAATGAAGGCTCCTTGAGGAATACCTCATTACAGGTCTAGGGCAGGAACATCTTGTTATAGAAAGCAAGGAAAGTATTCAAAGAACACTGGGGACAAGTTAAAGGACCCATTGGCCTACATGAATGGGCTCCTTACTAACCAAAGATAGAATAATTTGAGTATTGAAAGAATAATAACTGCAATGGATTAAAACACATCAAATATATAAAAATGTATGAGTTTATAATGTTAAAAGAAAAGCTCAGTTACAGAAAGAACCATAAAAGTAGAAAACTGATATCTAATTCAATTAAGTAATGTGTTTTGAAAATTTAACGTTCTAGTTAAATACAATTTACCGAAATGTTTAAAAGTATAAAACTATAAATGGTTTAGGTTAAAATGATCTTTTAGGTCCTTTAAGTTAAAAATTTTTTTTAATTTTGAAATTTGCGTCTGTACTTTTTCACTATGTTAATAATTATATAGAACAGAAATCAGCAAACTATTTCTATAAAAGGCCAGATAGTAAACATTTTAGGCTTTGCTGGGCATACCCATCTTTATTACAATTACTCAGCTATACCGTTGTGTGAAAATAGCCATAGACAATCTGCAAATTAATGCATTTATTGTCTATGTTCCAATAAAACTTTATTTACAAAAGTAGGCAGCATGACTTGATACAGAGTATTGGAGACTTTTTTTTAATAGCCTTTATTTCTTCCTTTCTAGGTATAAAGGACCACTCTTAGAAGAGCAAGCCCTTACCAAGGCAGCAGAGGGTGGACTGTCTTCACCTGAATTTTCAGAACTCTGTATTTGGTTAGGCTCACAAATAAAATCATTATGCAACTTGGAAGAAAGCATCACTTCAGCTGGTATTGCCATTATGTTTTATGTACTTTTCTTTTTAATAGTAAAATGAATTGATAGCTTATGATTTATAGTTTTATCAACAGTGTGCCCATTGTGTAAGGAAAAATCACTAATATTACGAAGAACTTCAATATGTGATATTATAGATCTTTGGATTAAATTTTATATTAATCCCAAATTCTTAAATTTGCTATAAAATTATAAGCAATTACTATTTGTCTTCTGTCTTGACCTTAGTATTGTTCTTTAGAAAAAGTAGATTCTGAATTTGGTTACTTAAAATTTTAATATTTGAATGCTGCTTATTTTGAATTAAAGGTTGTTGGTTTTTTAAAATATATGTAATCCCTAATTTAAATTGTTTTCAAGCCTGTAACTCAGGATATGGATTCATGTAGGAATACTTCCATTAAAAATTTCTGTACTGGCTCATAAAACTTGTTTAATTCATCACCATGTTTGTAACTGGAGTCCTTGTGGGCCTTTGGTAGAATTTCAGATAGTGTAATAAAATTAAAAATTAAAAATTATTGGGCATTTGCTAGTGGTCAAAGTAGCCTTCCTTTTGCAAGCTATCCTTACTTTTAAATTGCTTTTTTCCTTGCCAAATCTAACAGAATTTACTTAAAGCAAAGTAAAATAATCTGAGTTCTAAACATATGACACAAATTTCTACATAATTACATTAGGGAGTAAAGATAAACAGTGAGGCTTGCTTAGGTTGCATTTATTATCTGAATTTATAAAAATACAATAGAAATGGATCATTTGCTCTGAAGCCAATTAATAATTGTAGTCACAATAATGTTTTTAATATTTCAGTTGCTAACATATTTCCAGTTTGTATGCTTTTTTGGAGAGTCCATTGGAAGAGATTTGTCATATAAGTAATATAAAAATACTTACAATCCCATGATTAGATATATATGTTCTTGAATTGATATCTATGTTTTTAAATTTGTGTCACTTTCTATATTTAGAAATTGGTTGGTTCCCTTTAACTAAGCTTTGTGATCACATATGTGAGGATTTAATGTGAAAGTGAAAATTCAGAATTGAACATACAATTGAAATAAAGTAGAGGTATATTTTATAGTATTAGATTATATGATAATTACTCAGTTAATGTTTATGATTTTCTTTTTTAAAGGGAGAGATGATTTAGAGAGCTTCCAGCTTGAGATAAGTGGTTTTTTAAAAGAAATGGCATGTCCATATTCTATACTCATATCAGGAGATATTAAAGACCGTTTAAAAAAGAAGGATGACTGTTTGAAACTTCTGTGTAAGTTATCTTTCCTTGAACATTCAAGTGTGCATGTGTTTGATGTGGTTTTTGTTATTTTCAAGTCAAGATTTATGCAATTTTATTAGTGAAGCATTAGACATTTTATTTATTAAAAAGATTTTAATATTTGACTTAAAATATGAAGCTGTCTTGGAGATGTTTATATAAATGTGGTATAAATTCTACTGGTATACCCTCTAATGTGATTTGGCTGATATAGAATGCCCAGTGTTTGTGATTTATGTGGTACTTTAGTAATTTTTCCCTCACCTAATTCATCTCTTAGTATTTGTGACTAGATGGCTAAAGTTGGTAATGTTCAAAGTCCTATTTAATCTTACACCTCTCTGAAAATAGGCTTTTAAGCAGATTATTAGGTCTTATTTTTAGTGATACGCACTGAATGGTAGTTTGTTCAAAAATATTTATTGATCACCTACTCTTGTACAGAAACTGCTCTAGACAGTAGGGATATATCAGTTTAAAAAAAGAAAGAAAAAATTTGTGCCTTCAGAGCACTTATGTGGCCTATTTTCATCAGGGAGGGATTTAGAATATAGATTCCCTATAGTCAAACAATTACCATAAATAGTAGATTCATTTGTTTGTTGGGTCCTTTCAAAAATTTTTTACTTTAATTTTATGTTATTTTAAGTTCTACAAACAATGGCCATTTGAAAAAATGTTTCTAACATCTTCTATTCTTGAAGATTTCTATTTCAGGTTGTACCATTTATAAAAAGATTCATGTGACATATTTCTCCTAGGCTCTAGTGTTAGTAAAGTTTGTTTCATTAGAGAAGAAATTGTCTGTGTGCATGTGTGTGTGTGTTTAAATGTTCAGTGGTGATACAACTTTCAGAGATGTTGGCATTTGAATTACCTTGTGTCTGTTGAGGGGTGAGGGGAAAAATTATGTGCTCCCACTCGCAGTTCTTACACTGTTTCCCCATCTTCCTCCATGTTGTGTGATTTAATGAACCACTGTTATGAATAGGAGGTCACAGTAACCCTTGTGGATGTTGGGACAGAAAGGAACCTAAGAAACACTGGCCTGGAGGAACTTGTGTACTCCGTAGTGTCAGTCAAAGAGAACTGTGTCATCCATCGTAGTTTTTGCCTTTTGCCTTAGCTGCTATAAAGCCCAACAATAATAGTAATATGGGTTTCTGGTATAAATAAAAATAAAGAGGAGATATAAGAGAAGTTGGTTACATTGTAGTTCTTTCTGATTATAGAAATATATGCTTGAAAGGGTGGTGATGGGGAGTTAGTGTTTAATGGGTATAGAGTTTCAGTGGGGAAGATGAAAAAGTTCTGAAGATAGGTAATGGTGATGGTTGCACAACAATTTAAATGTACTTAATGCCCTAGAACTGTACATTTAAAGATGTTTAAAATGGTAAGTTTTATGTTGTATGTTAAAAAATTGTAAGTTTATCATAGAAATCTTAGAAGGTAGATAAAATTGTAAAGAAGGAAATAATTTATAATCTCACATCCCAGAGAAAATCATGAATAACATTTTGGTATGTTTCCTTTTTCTTTTTCCTGAGTACATGCACAGGCGCACATTTAAATAAGATTTAGATCCTGTTACAGATGCAGTTTCTTCACCTCCTCTTCATTTAATGTATTGTCCTCCTCTTCATTTCCCCATCAATTTTGTTTTGAAAAAATAATTTAAACTGGCTACATAATATTCTGTTGTGAAATAGAGAATAAAATAAGCCATTGTTTTCTGATAGTATTAAATTTATTTTAGTTTTTCTAGTCTATTTTGTACTCATTCATCTGTTTCAAACTAAGTCTTAAGCTAAACCTCTATAGGTAAAGTGAGGCTTCTCTGTTGTGGGGTCCTGAATCCTTGTGTGCCTAACTCTAGTGAAAGCTACTCAGGCTCCTCCAATGGGAAAAACAATGAATCATTGAAAGTACAGTATAAGTACATTTAATAGAGTATCTATTTTTTGTAGCTTTCGTGTTGTTTTTTTTTTCTCATTTCATTTTTAAGTTTACAGTGTTCTACAGTTGTTAAGAATGCTCTTTGTTTCTTTGTAACCTGGTATTGATATTAGTATCATTGATATTTGTTTTAAACGAATTATTTCAGTGAAATATTTTAAGAAATTCTTGTGCATATATTAACATTATTTGCTTTTCCCTTTTTTTAATTGTAGTTCTATACTCATATCAGGAGATATTAAAGACCGTTTAAAAAAGAAGGATGACTGTTTGAAACTTCTGTTATTTTTAAGTACAGAACTTCAAGCTTTACAGATATTACAGAACAAGAAACGTAAAAATTCTCAATTAGATAAAAATAGTGAAATTTATCAGGAAGTTCAAGCTATGTGTGATACCCTTGGTGTACCCAAGTCCACAACTTCTGACATTCCACTTATGCTAAACCAAGTGGAATCAAAGGTATTATATTTATTTTATTTTTTATTTCCCTCCAAATTCAACTAAATGCTAAATACTGTATTAAAAATGAAAATATTCCCTTTAAGTATAAGGTGTATACATTCCATTTCAAAAGAAGTTTGGTTTCACGTATACTAAATTTTGGATTTGGACTTAACATGCATATGACCTAATTTGTCTATAGCTAATATTCAAGAATCAGATCTTATGTGATCAAGCCACTGACTTACCTACTAAACTGCTACTGTTGCCTGAAAAAAATGTGGTTTTTATTCTGCTTGTATTTAAAATTGATGAAGGAAAAAAAAAAAAAAAAGAATCAGATCTTAGGAGTGAGTGTCTCTTAGGCTTTGCCATAGTTCGCCATGGTAGAAATCACTGCAAATTTAAGGATCATGTTCCTGATCAGGGTTGTAATACAGTATAGTAAAAGAAGTAGAGTTATCCTACAAAGTCAGAAGGCAAACTAAACTTTTTAAAAAATGAATATTGTTAATAGAATTGCAGTGTGGTTTCTTTGGCAGTGAGCAAGCACAGTTTTTGGTGGATAAGTATTTAGTAAGTATGTGTTGTATAGTGAATGAATAAATAAATGAGTACCTTGATGGAGTAGTTAAAAACAACCACAAGCTATGTACCTAATGTATTGAAAAGAATCTTTTTTCAAAAAAATAAAAATTAAAAATTGTTCCCAGTTGAGCCATGTGTTACAGAGCATGCTGCTCTTACAGACCAAATTCTGGCCTAGTTCCTAGGTTAAACATGGAGTCATCTAGGGGAATAATACAACATTCATTTTTTTTTTTTTTTTTTTTGCCTTTTTGTCTTTTTTCCGTGTCCGGCAACGGATTGAGCGGGAGCCGGTCTGTATGTGGGATCCGAACCCTCGGACGGGAGCACCGCCGCGCTTCCCAAGCGGCGCACTATCCAGTGCGCCACCGGGCCGGCCCCAACATTCATTTTTTTAAAAAAAAGAAAATTCTCATTAACCCTCAGGAATAGATACTATAACTCCATTTTTATACACGCTGCCTTAAACTAAATCCTTGTTTAATAATCATCTCGTTTGCATTGGTAATTTATGAACTGAAAAATAAGGTTTGTCTTAATGAATGTAAGATAATTTTAGTATTATTAAGATGAAAACACAGTATTAAAAAAATGTTTTTGTAGAACTTGCAAACTGGAGAATAAGTCTGTGAATCTCAGCTTAAAGACATTGTTCACAAGTTACTCTTCAGAATTTTTTTTCTCTTTTCCTCTGGATTAAGAATGATCTGGAGTTGGCTAAAACTTCTGGGACTGTTTCAAATTGAGGCAGATTTATGGGCTCTTCCTAATTTTTCAGTGCTTCCATGTATTGATCCCAAAGAGGCTTTTCTCTTTTATGGTTATCAGTTAGTATTAGCAATACTCCCAAATCCGTTTTCCCTACTTGAAGCAGGCTATAAGGCCTGTGTTCAGATGCTGACAGACTAATTATAAGGTAGTTGTTAGTATGGCCATCTTGGCTAAATATTTACCTAAAAGGACTTTCTACTCCATTCCTATCAAAAGTAAAAATTTCTGTATTTTTTTTTTCTACATGTGATGTGTCCAGAAGACACTTTGTCAACATTGGGGAAGAAAATTATTATTTTCTAACTAGAAGCTGAACAAGTGTGTAGTAATTACAGTAATATTAACAGCAAACATATAACATTTACTGCTCTAAATGTTTACATGTAATAACTCATTTAATTCTCACATTACGTATATGAGGTAGGTACTATTATCTATAACAGCCATGTCAGAAACTGAGGTACTGAAAGATTTAGTAATAAGTTTCTAAGCAGTGGTAGATCCAAGGTTTGAACCCATGCTGCGAGCCTCTAGAGCCTGTGCTCTTAACTCACTGTATAACAAGTAACTCTCACTTTTATTAAAACTATTATCTAATGTTGAAGTCCTAGGAATGCAGCTAAACATGAAACTGTTAGGTGTGCATTCAGAATGCCCTTGAGTGAGGAGTTATATAACTAACACTTTTGGTAATACGTGAAATAAACATAAAATTGGAGATATTTACAATAGTTGGGGAATCTTCAGAAATGGTATACTTTAAGAAAATAAGTTAATAATTCCTTAAAATATGTAAAAATTGTATCAGTAATTGTGTTATTGCAGCACAGGTTTTTTCCAAGTTAATTTTTAAAAAATAGGTTTCTTGAGATATAATTAATATGCCATAAAATTCTCCCATTTTAAGTATACAATTCAATGAATTTTAGTACATTTGTAGTATTGTACAGTCATCACCAAAATCTAATTTTAGGACATTTCCATCACCCTCAAAGGAAACCTTGTGCTTATTTACACTTACTCCCTATTACCACCTCATCTTCCAAGCTAATTTTGAATTCATTTACCTCAAGAGTGCCCCCAACATTAAATAAGCTTCATGCCCCTTAAATCCTGAACTGGTCCTTATTATTTCCCCTGGTTAGTTTATAGCTAAGAAACTGTAAATATTTCATTCAGTTTTGAAATATTTTCTTTAGCTAATGAAGGATTCTCCAGTTAGGAGGGTGAGCCAAACTTAGGCTGTAATTTCTTAGTCATGTTCTAAGGGATAATTTTTTGTTGTTGATTATTGTTGTTAATTGTTATTGGAATGACATCTGATATTGCTAAAGCAAAGTAAGTGTCTAATATCTTGTTTACCAAAATAAAAATGTGTTAACTGAAATTAGTAGCTTTGCAAAATGTATACGGAGTAACTATAATTGAGAGGGCTTGCTTTCTTAAGTTGTCTTGCTGTACAGAAACCAGAATACTTACAAATGGAATGTGTGTATAGTATTCATTTGAGAAAAATCAATGTGCTGATCAAAAGTTTTAGTATCCTTTTTGAGAATTTACCAGGAAGTAAGAGTGCCATCTTCAAGAAGACATTCCAAAATTATTTTATGTGTGACACAGATTCTTATGGTAGAACCTTTTAATAGGTACTTCTTTAGTTGTCTGTGTACATTATTTCTTATTCTGGGAAACTATATGTTATATAGTTTGAATTAATATAATTAGTTCTTCCTTGAAAAAGGTATTCTGTATTGCAGTCATTTTCTTTCCTGGTATATGCAGATATGTTTTAATTATTTCACTTTAATATTTTAGTTATTCTCTAGTGTTCAAAACAACACTTTAATAAAACAAGAATAAGATTGTTTTAAATTAGAGATGTACATTTTTACAATTTTTTTATATTTACTTTTTAGGTGAAGGATATCCTCTCAAAAGTCCAGAAAAATCATGTGGGAAAACCACTTCTGAAAATTGATTTGAATCCAGAACAGGCGGTAAATCCTCCTTTTTTGTTAGTTTTATGTAATTAAATTAGTGAATATGACTTAATTTTATAAATGGACATCTAGATTTTACACTGTGTAGCATGCATATATTATTTTGGAGAATTATAATAGATTGATATTCTAGAGTAATATGTCCTAACATTTCTTCAATCAGATTTTTATATAATTTAAAAACCTGGCCGAGAATATTTATAGTACCCAGTATGTTAGCACAGTAGTGATTCAAAAAGGATAGTGGCTCAAAGCCAACAAGATGAGAAGTTACTGGTGTTTTCTTTCCCTATTGGTCCAGACTGCTTAGCAAGTTAGTGTTTTACTTAAATTAACATGTTTGACTGAAGACAAGGTAGAGTTTAATTTGTATGTTTAATGTCTTCTGAATATCATAGATATTCTGTCAAATATTCTTTGTTATTTAAATAGTTTACCATAGTGTTCACTGGATCAGAAAATGGTTATCAAGTACAGTATCTTTTGAATCAGTAGGAAGTATTTACTGCAATTTTTGAGTTTCTTTTCTATGCAGAATCAAAGGGTCTAAAGTTTATGATTTTTGTTTCCAAATTCTTTAGGAACAACTGGAAAGAATCAATGATGCTCTTTCCAGTGAATATGAATGCCGCCGGCGGATGTTAATGAAACGATTAGATGTGACAGTGCAGTCCTTTGCGGATGTTAATGAAACGATTAGATGTGACAGTGCAGTCCTTTGCGGATGTTAATGAAACGATTAGATGTGACAGTGCAGTCCTTTGCGGATGTTAATGAAACGATTAGATGTGACAGTGCAGTCCTTTGGATGGTCTGATAGAGCAAAGGCAAGGCTGTTTTCCCATTTGTGTCCTGTAGGTGGTGGCTTATGACAGCTCTTCAGGCTCGTTTGTCTGCTGTTATGTAACTGTCATACTATGCCATGTGTGCACGTTATCAGTATTTGAACCACATGCCTAGGCCAACTACTGGACTTATATAATGATCTTGGTCTTCTATAAATCCCTGTGGCAAATATTTTTCTTCAAATCTTTGACATTTATTTTAAACTTATAGATGTTGTGATTGATGCCAGGATATGCATAATAGAAGGGGCAGCATGTGAGATAGTGAGATAGATATAGTGAAGATCTGATCAAAAAAGCGGAGTATAGGAGGAGGTACAGGTAGTACTGATGCCCAAACAGGTCTTCTTAAAAGTATCTTGAGGCTGGGTAAGTGTGGAATGTGTTCCAGTTGAAGAGGGGCTTGGAAGGTGGGGACACTCCCAATTAAGAATATGTTCAGATAGCCTTCTAGAGCTGTCTCCTATCACTTTTATTTTATACCTTCAATCTGTATCCAGGCTTGGTCCGGGATCCCCCACTGCCCCAACCTGCATCTGAGCCTGGAAACTCTCCAGGTAGTAATTTGGAGTTATTATAGGGCTACCCATCTTCCAGGTATCACTTTCCTGTGTTCCTTGATGTCCAGTGTTTGTAAATCATTGGTTCACATGGTTTGTCCAGTTTTTTAGTTGTTTTATGTGGGAGGGTAAATTTGGTACACATTATTATATCTTGACTGCAAGTGGAAGTTCAAGTTTTATTACATTTTTTGGATTAACTGGGCAGTTCTTCTGCCCCATATTATTATCAGTTGGGGTCACTTATGCAGCTTCATTCACATGGTGTCTGGGCTGGGCTGGACATCCAAGATGACTATCTCACATGTCTGGATTCTTGGTACCAACTCTCTGCTCTGGTGCTTCCCTTCTCCTCTTGGCTCTCACATCGTCTCTCTTTCCATGTGGTGTCTTGTATTAGTTTCCTATTGCTGCTGTAACAAATTACCATAAACTTATTAGTAGCTTAAAGAATACAAATTTATTGTCTTATATTCTGGAAAGCAGAAGTCCTAAAGTGAAGGTATTGGCAGGGTTGCATTCCTCCTGGAGGCTTCAGGGGAGGATTCATATCCTTGCATTTTCTAGCTTCTAAATGCTGCCTGTATATTTTGGCTGGTGGCCTCATCTTCTGTCTTTAAAACCAGTAATGTAATAGTATCTTCCTCTCTCTCTCTCTTCCCCCCACTTCCTCTCATTTCCTCCTCCCTTCCCCTCTCCCTCTCTCCCTCCCTCCTGACCTCTTCCCTCTCCCTCTCTCTGTTTCTATTGTCACCTCATTTTTTCCTGTCTCTGACACTCCTGTCTCTCTCTTATAAGAACCTTGTGATTATATTGGGCCCATCCAGATAATACAGGATAATCATTCCATCTCACATCTGCATCTGCAAGGTAATCTTCACAGGTTCCAGGGATTAGGATGTGGATATCTTTGGATGAGCATCTCAGTACTCTCTATGATTAGGTATAGAGCATTTTAAAAATATTTCTGCGTATGTACCACCTAATTAGTTTCTCAGGTGGTTAAAGTCTGATTCTCTGCTGCATGTGCACCAGGATAAACCCCAGGAATGTGTCTGTCCATGTCATGGGAGTAACTGTTTTGTGTAAGAAGCTCAGATACTCTAAGAGCTGTGAGTTACCAAAGTAGATGACATGGTTGCTGACGTTAAAAAATGGAATAGAATTCAGATGTGTGGGAAGTACCAGTTTCACTGACCTCCAAAACTTAATAGAGGTTTTACGTATATGTTGGGTCTCCAGTTTAACCTAATAGAATTTTAATGAGAAACAGGAATTTAGCAATATAAGGCAAATTGTGAAAGGTACTGTCATTAAAATTGTCTTAACATAACTAACTTAGAGGATGTTTTTGATGTTTGTTTTAAGATTAAAGAGAAATCCAAAACAAATGAGTTTTGACATATTCTTCAAACATTCAGAATGACATGGATTCAAGGGCATGTTTACCCTTTATTGGCTTTAAATGGGGGCTTTGAGCAACTATGCCTTTAGGAAATATCTTTATTATATCTTCTCATCTTAGTCTTTTTCATCATATTTTAAGACAAGGAGATTGTGTTTTTATTCTTTTTTTCTTAGTCTGGAAGATTTTTTAAAATATTTTTTTCTAAGCTGGCCGGTTAGCTCAGTTGGTTAGAGTATGGTACTAACACCAATGTCCAGGGTTCTACCCCAGTACTGGCCAGCGAAAGAACAAACAAACAAAATATACTTTTTTCTTTGGCTTTTTATAGATCAATTTCAGCCTTTTGTTTGGTCTTTTTCAAATGATTATATGCATTTGTACCCTATTTTTTCTTTTTTTGTGTAATTTAATATATCTATATCATTTTCCCCCTATTTTCACAAGAGAAAAATATGTCTGATGTTGTTGAGTGATTGTCATCAAGTATTTTTCTACAGCAGTTTAAAGCTTTGCACAATGTTTTATCATACAGATATATGCACTCTATTGATAGACATTGAAGTTTCCTCTAATTTTGTTTCTTGTTTGAACCTTTCTTGAATTCCTTGGCAGCTAAATTTTTGTTCATGTCCATGATATATTTCTTTTTTTTTTTTTTAAAGATGACCGGTAAGAGGATCTTAACCCTTGACTTGCTGTTGTCAGCACCACACTCACCCAGTGAGCTAACCGGCCATCCCTATATAGGGATCCAAACCCGTGGCCTTGGTGTTATCAGCACCACACTCTCCCAAGTGAGCCACAGGCCGGCCCTCATGATATATTTCTAAAAGTAGAATTTCTTGATTAAAGAATATAGATGATTTTAAGGCTTTCGATGCACACTCCTGAGTTGCCTTTCAAAAAGATTGTACCCATTTATTAGTAAGGTTAATCTAGTTTCTTTTCTTGGTTATTTTCTCTGTTATAATATAGTGAATATAATTTTATAGTTTGTTTTTTTAACTAAATATATTGTGACCATTGCCCCATATCTATCTACCTAAAGCTTTATTTCAATACCTTTTAAAATTGATTTTTAATTTCTTTTTTTGAGATATAATTTACATAACATTAAATTTATCACTTTAACTTGTGCAATTCAGTGATTTTTAGTCCATTCACTATGTTGTGTATCCATTATTAATATGTAATTCTGGAACATTCCCATCACCCCCAAATGACATACACACCCATTAGCAGTCATTCCCAATTCTTTCTACCTCCACTCCCTAGGAATCATTATTATAATATACTTTCTGTCTCTATGGATTTGCCTATTCTGGGCATTTCATATAAATTCAGTCATACGACATGTGGCTTTTTGTGTCTGGCTTCTTTCACTAAGCATAATGTTTTCAAGGTTCATTCATGTTCTAGCATGTAACAGTACTTCATTCCTTTCAGTATCCATTTCATGGCTGCATTATATTTTATCATATAGTGATTCCATATTTAACTCTCATATTTTATACATTTTTTCCTGTATCAACAGCAGGAATGTTTCTGTGTATAATTTTTATATGTAAATTTCCATGTACAGATTTGCCTCATTTAATTGCACTTTGCTTTATTGTGCTTTGCAGACACTGCATTTTTTACAAATTGAAACTTTGTGGCAATTCTATTTAAGTCTTTTGTGCTGTTTTTCCAACAGCATGCACTCACTTTGTGTCTCTGTGTCACATTTTGATAATTCTCACAACATTTCACACTTTTTCATTATTATTCTATCTGTTATGATGATCAGTGATCTTTGATGTTACTATTGTAGTTGTTTGGGGGCATCATGAACTGCTCCCATATAAAACAGCATACTTAATTAATAAATGAGTATGTTCTGACTGTTTCACCAACTGGTCATTTCCCTGTTCCTCTCCCTATCCTTGGGCCTCTCTATTCTTTGAGACACAGCAGTACTGAAATTAGGCCAGTTAATAACCCTACAGTGGCCGCTAAGTGTTCAAGGGAAGGCAAGAGTCTCATGTCTCTCACTTTAAATGAAAAGCTGGAAATGGTTCAGCTTAGTGAGGAAGGCAGATTGAAAGCCAAGACAGGCCGAAAGCTAGACTTCTTGTACCAGTTAGCCAAGTTGTGAGTGCAAAGGGCAAGTTTTTGAATGAAATTTAAAGGGTTACTCCAGTGAACATACACCAGCGATAAGAAAGTGAAACAGCCTTATTGCTGATATGGAGAAAGTTTTAGTTGTCTGGATAGATCAAACCAGCCACAATATTCCTTTAAGCCAGAGCCTAATCCAAAGGAAGGTCCTAACTCTCTTCAATTGTATGAAGTCTGAGAGAGGCGAGGAAGCTGTAGAAGAAAAGCTTGAAACTAGTGGAGGTTGGTTTGTGAGGTTTAAGGAAAGAAACCATCTCCATTAACATAACAGTACGTATGCCTTCTTAGTGCAGTAGGCAGCACATCAGTCTCATAACATAACAGTGCAAGGTGAAGCAGCAGGTGCTGATGTTATCCAGCAAGTTATCCAGAAGATCTGCCTAAAATAATTGATTTATTTTTTTCATTTTATAAGTGAAATAACAAAGCACAAATGATGGCACATCTGTTTATAGCATGGCTTAATGGATATTTTAAGCCCACTGTTAAGGCCCATTGGTCAGGAAAAAAGATTTCTTTGAAAATATTGCTGCTCATTGACAGTGCACCTAGTCACCCAAGAGCTCTGATGAAGATATACAAGGAGATTCATGTTGTTTTCATGCATGTTAATACAACATCCACTCTGCAGCCTGTGGATCAGGAGTAATTTTGATTTTCAAGTCTTATTTTTTAAGAAATACATTTTATAGCTGCCATAGGTAATGATTCTTCTGATGGGTCTGGGGAAAGTAATTGAAAACCTTCTGGAAAAGATTCACCATTCTAGATGCCATTGAGAACATTTGTGCTGCATGGAAAGAGGCCAAAATAACATTACTAGGAGTTTGGAAGAAGTTGATTCCAGTCCTCATGGATGACTTTGAGGGGTTCAAGACTTCAGTGGAGGAAGTAACTGCAGGTGTGGTGGAAATAACAAAAGAACTAGAATTAGAAGTGGAGCCTGAAGATGTGACAGAATTACTGCAATCTCAGATGAAACTTGAACTGCTGAGGAGTTGCTCCTTATTTATGATCAAAGAGAGTCGTTTCTTGAGATGGAATCTACTCCTGGTGAAGATGCTGTGAACGTTGTTGAAATGACAACAAAGGATTTAGAATATTACATAAACTTAGTTGATAAAGCAGCTGCAGGGTTTGAGAGAATTGACTTTAATTTTGAAAGAAGTTCTACTGTGGGTAAAATGCTATCAAACAGCATCACGTGCTACAGAGAAATCTTTTGTGACAGGAAGAGTCAATCAAAACAGCAAACTTTATTGTTGTCTTATTTTCAGAAATTGCCACAGCCACCCTAGCCTTCAGCAACCACCACCCTGAATTAGTTAGCAGCCATGAACACTGAGGCAGGGCCATCCACCAGTGTAAAGATTAAAACTCGCTGAACGCTCAGATGATCATTAGTAGTTTTTAACAATAAAGTATTTTTTAATTAAGGTATATACATTCTTTTTAGACATAATGCTATTGCACACTTAATAGTATAGTGTAGGCATAAATTTATATGCTATGGGAAACCAAAAATTTTGTGTGACTTGCTTTATTTTGATGTTTGCATTATTGCAGTGGTCTGGAACCAAATCTCAGTATCTTTGAGGTACACTATTATTCCTATGGAGGATTCCTAAAAGGAAATTTACTGTGTTCAAAGTTAAGACTATTACGGCTCTAGGTTCTTATGGCCAAATTGATTTCCAGAAAGTTTGTATGAATTTAAACTCCAACCAGTAGGGTAAATGAAATTTTGTTTCACGTTAGCCTCTTTAATATTTAGAATATTATCAGCTTTATTGCTAACTTGATGGTTAAAAAAGATTAACTTATTTTAATTTATATATTATTATTGGTAAAGTTGAACTTTTTTTCCTATAAACTTATTAATCATTTGAATTTCCTTTTATTTGAAACTTCTATTTATTGCTTATCTTTTTATTTTTCCCCCTGTAGAGTCCTGTTTTCCTTTTGAGCTTTTATATATTAAGGAAATTTGCTAGTTGTTTTATTTGTTGAAAATATTTTACCCAGTTGTCTTTTTATTTTGTTGTATACCTTTTGATATGTAGAATTTTTAATCTTTATGTCCTAATCTTTTTGAGGGGCGGGGGCGGGGATGCTTCTGGCTGGTATGGGGATCTGGATCCTTGACCTTGCTGTTAGAAAACTGAGCTCTAACTAACTGAGCTAACCAGCCAGCCCATAATCTTTATAATGTAGTTAAAGTTTTAAATTTAAAATAAAACCTGAAACAATTAACTCTTTATTTTCTTTGGAAGTCCCTTTGTTATTTGCTGTGGCTTATTGTTGTTATTGTTTTTACAAATAGTCAACAGTTCATTCCAGCACCATTTAAAAATAATCATTCCTTTTGCTCATTGATCTGTGTTGCCTCCTTTATCATATATTGCATTTATACATTTATAAGGCTATGAGTGTCAGTTGTCTGTTTTGTTTCATTAATCTATTTTTTTCTCCCAAGTTCCAATTAATTAGACTGAGGTGATATGGTGTACTGTTACTTGTACACCTGTGCTTTGGGGTCAGGTAGGCCTTTATTTGTAAGCAGACAGAGTTGGGATTCTTTCTGTATTTTGGGAAAACTAACTTAAGCTTTCTAAGCCTCATTTTTTTTTTCCATTTGTGAAAGAGGATAATAAAAAACAACCACTCTAAAAAGATCTTTTGAGAATTAAAGAAATAATGCCTAGCAAGTGAACAACATCCTGGCACATTTAATGTGCTCAATAAATGTTAGCTGTTAAGGTAATGGTAATAATTTCATATTGCATATTAGTACCTGATAGGACTCTTCTATTCCAAAATTCTTTAAGTCATTCTTATAAATTTAGTTTCTGAGTTAACTTTAGAGTCATTCTTTTTTTTATCCTCCCAAAAACAATTCCAATAGGATTGAAGTAAATGTAATTCTATACGTTAATTTTGGGGGAAATTGTCAATAATATTCAATGTTCCCAATCAAAAACTTGGTATTTCTCATCATTTCTTCAACTTTTCTTTTTGTTTTTGCAAGATTTACTGATGTTTTCTTTTTAAAGGTCCTGTATGTGTTTTTGATAGAACTATTTTTACGTATTTTATTTTTTGTTAGTACAGGTTGAGTATCCCTTATCTGAAATGCTTGGGACTATAAGTGTTTCAAATTTTGGATTTTTTCAGATTTCGGAATATTTGCATATGCATAATAAGGTATTTTGGGGATGGGACACAAATCTAAACAAAAAGTTAATTTCTGTTTCATATACACCCTATACACATAGCCTGAAGGTAATTTTATACAATATTTTAAATAATTTTGTACATGAAAGACATGACTTGTCAAATGTGGTCACATATGGAATTTACCACTTGTGGCATCATGTCAGCACTCAAAAACAAGTTTTGGATTTTGGAGCATTTTGGATTTCACATTTTTGGTTTAGGGATGCTCAACCTATATGAATAGAATCTTTTTTTGTTGTATTTTTAAATTGAGTTGCTGTTGATAGTTATATATTCTTTTAGTATTGGTTTATTTTTTTCATTGTACATATAAATTATTATCAGATGTTAGTGTACCCAAGTCCACAACTTCTGACATTCCACTTATGCTAAACCAAGTGGAATCAAAGGTGAAGGATATCCTCTCAAAAGTCCAGAAAAATCATGTGGGAAAACCACTTCTGAAAATTGATTTGAATCCAGAACAGGCTATTATCAGATGTTTGGATGTTTTGCTCTTTCCTATTTCCTTGCTTGTGCATTATCTGGGGTTTTTTTTTTTTTTTCTTAAGATTTTGATTACCATTGCCCTTTCGTTAAAACTTACTTTTGTTCCTTTTTCCCTAACTTTTGTCATTTAGGTAAAAACAGATGACATAGCAAGAATTTACCAGCCTAAGCGTTATGCTTTGTCACCCAAGACAACAATTACATTGGCGCATCTACTTGCCGCTCGTGAAAGTCTATCCAAGATCGTTAGGACAAGTAGTGGCAGAAGCCGGGAGAAGACGGCATGTGCCATTAATAAGGTTGGTTTTTCTTCCAGCATAGTAGAGAATGAATTTATAATATCCTTGTTTGATGTTTGTACAGAGTCTAATCCATTTTTATTTTATATCCTGATAAACTCCTATAAAAGAGAGTGGTGGAGGAGCTTCAGTTCATCTAGGGTTAGTTATGTTTTATCTGTGTGTTCATTTGAATTTCTGTATCCATAAATTAATTCGAAGTTTTATCTGAATTAGAGTGATTAAGAATTATTTTTATCAGGATAGCTGAGGAATCACCTTGGGCAAGTTACTGAATTTCTTTGAGCTTCTGTTTCCTGGGTGAGAATATAGGTTCATTTCTCTGACAGGGTCTCAAACAAGCTTAAGGAGTCAGAATTTTTTACTTTACAACAGCAGGAACAACAATAAACTAATCTAGAATGTTTATGTCAGCTCGACTCGTGTGTTTTCTCCATTTAGGTAAAGCACTCCATTGTGAACCCTATTACAAAAGAGCCAAAAATCAGAAGTAAGGTATTTGAGTAATTTTAAAACATCGTTTCTCAGTGTAGCTTGAGATAGGATACCTTGCCACAGGGATGGTAGTTTTTAATGTCAGTTTACTAGTTATTGCTAAGTTAGGCATCACCAGTGTTTGTCTCTGTGCTTCCATTTTGGATCGACCCCCCATTCCCCCAACTTCTGAAAGTGTCCTTTCTTTAGATATATCACTTAATATCTTTCATCAGGTTATAATCTAGTCTTGCTGGATCAAGAGTTCTTCTGTAAGAACTCTTGCCTATTTCTTTCCTGAGTTTACAATTTATAGTCTGATTATTTGAAAGTATCTTAAGATCAGTTTTTGGAACATATATAGCATCTCTGTTTACTTAACAACATGTTGTATTTGGTGGAGAGACTAGTGAAAATAAGAACCAAGAAAGTTTTTTTTTTTTTTTTTGGATTTGGTAATTAGGACACTATTGCTGACTTTAAAAGAATGTTTGCATACTTAGAACCTTGTGCCATAGTGAGGGTGTTGTTCTTTTTCATTTATCACATAAATTCCTAAACATGGTTTTGATTAGAGGATCAATGGAAGTGGAATCCAGGTGATTCATAGGTCATTTTGATGGAGGCAGTTACTGTTTTGCCTTCCTTCCTTAAAGACACTTGCAGGAAGCCATTGGCTTCTCCTTGGCTGTGGTGGGTGAGTGACACCCTGTTCACCATTGTCTGTCTTTCCCTCTGCTCATGGGTGTATAAAGTAGCTCTTTTCTACAGGAGGTTGGGAACATAAACTAAACTCTTCCCTAGTTTATTCTTCAGAGTATTGTAAAGCATGGTTAGGGAAGTATATCAACTCTTTATTTTCCTTGTAATAATATAGCAACTAGTGTCATTATTGAAAATACATGAGCTTAAGTTTCTCAAAAGAAATAATTCATTGAGAATCCTTATAATGCTTTGCAATGATACCTGGGATTATAGTTATTATATTTATCTGTAACTTCATTACATCCACGTTATCATATATACTTCATACTTTGTTGAAATAAAATGTGTTTAGGAATAGTCTTTTACTGGGTAATCTATTACCAAATGAATGGCAACAGAAATAGTTGTTGTATAAATGGAAGTTAATTAATGTAGAGTGTGTAGTTTATGTATATTGAAAATCTTTCATTAAAAGAAATTTCTTAGTGTAATGGACTACATTTGTTATAGAATTTGCTAAACAAATTTAAATTAGAGAAAATTAACAAGCCCTTAAGTTTCAGGAATACTCTCCCTGATTGTTTAAAAATAATACCACATTCTGGGAAATTCATTATACATCACACTTATATTTTCAATATTGTACTGCCATGTCTAGTATTTTTATGTCCTTAAATAATTTGCTTTTGTTTCTTTATTATAAATAATAACTTTACTACCACTTGAAACTTTTACGTAAATTTTAACTTTTAAAAATTAGAAACTGAAAAAAAATGTTTCTTCACTCAGGTGCTGATGGGAAGGGTGCCTGACAGGGGAGGACGGCCGAATGAAATTGAACCACCACCACCCGAAATGCCCCCTTGGCAAAAGAGACAAGAAGGCGGTGGAAGGGGTGGTTGGGGTGGTGGAGGTGGAGGTGGGGGTAGAGGAGGCGGTGGGGGTGGAAGAGGTGGCTGGGGAGGTGGAGGAAGCTGGGGCGGGGGGGGGGGGGGGGAGGAGGAGGTGGGGGAGGTGGTGGTAGAGGAGGTTTCCAAGGTAGGGGAGATTATGGTGGAAGAGGGGGCTATGGTGGAAGAGGGGGCTATGGCGGGAGAGGTTATGGAGATCCACATAGAGAAGGAGTGGTGGTGGTGGATATAGAAGATACTAAAAATTACAAAAATTAGCAGTTTTTACTTCTTGATTAGATACATTACGCATAGTGTTCTAAATAACATACTGTATGTGAATATCATCTTTGAAGTAAACACTACGTTAGACCCCCTGATAACATTCTTGAATTGGGTCGATATGTAAGAACATTGTTTTATACTACCAGTTGATCATTGTTTTATACTACCAGTAGACAAATTGATTTTTTCCATATTCTATGTACTCTTGGGCATGTTGTGTCTTTTTAAAAAACAAAAAAATGAATAAAAATTGTTTTTAAAAATGTAAATATTTATTAACATCAAACTTGGGAAATGGAAAGTATTTTATGGCCATGATTGAATTTAGACTGTTACCTGTATTTTGTTCAGGTTTAAGACACATAAATGACCCCACCTGTAACGGAAAGGAATATAGATTCTTGCTTCATCTGTATTCATGTCAGTGTGTTTTGTATTTGTTAATTCTACTTCACAAAATACAGAAAGGGACTGATAGTTGTGTTCAATAGGTAGTTGTTATGGTTAGTGATTTCTTTCATAGGAGGAGATTCCTCTGGCCAGGTTTCTGTTAAAGCTCCATTAATTGAAGGCAAAGTCTACTTTTTGCTGTGCATATTTGATTTATTTTCCATTTGCATTTGAAATCTGTGATTTTGTTTGACCCACAAAGCAAAGTTAAAGATTGAATTCGCAATTCCGTTAAAGGGACAAAGACATACCAGTTTTACATAATGGTGAAAAATATTCCTATAAACTGGTCTCTTAATCACTTGTGCCCTCATTTTAGGTATCTAAGTATTAAAAGGTAGGCTGAGCTGTCTCACCAGGATTAAGGCAGTAATTTCCAGCTTCAGTAGATCAGGGGTAGGGCTTGGTGATTCTGACTCACAGCTAGATTTGGGAAACACATCGTTAGAGAATGATTATATGTGGTTTGGTGTGGTTGGAGCAGTCAAAAGCTTGAGATTAGGAGTGGTGCGTTCTAATGTCACTGGGCTAGGAGTGCTGTGGGTTAAAATAACCCTAGCTCTCAAGTATTGATTTTTTATCATTTGTCAAATGAGTTAGATGCTTGTCCCCTTCTCAAGTTGTTTCATAAAGACTTAAGTACAAAAGCAATTTGTTGAAAATGTATAGAAGGCCTATTATGAATAGTTTAAGAGGGGGGCAAGTAATATATTTTTCTCTTAGTGCAGAGAGAGAGAGAGAAAGAGAACTAGTCACAAAGATTTTTTCAGTCCCACTGTAAAATCTGTATCTCAGACTAGACTCCTCATCAACACTTGTGTATAATAACGTTGTGTTCTCTACCCAGCTCAACAGATAGAAAACTGAATTGTTACCAGTGGACAAATGATATTTGATATTTGGCAAGTTTTTTGTTGTTGTTGTGTTTTGTTTTACAATAAACCCTGTGGTTAAATCTAAAATAATGTTAAAACTTTAAAAGTAAATATTGTTTATACTGCAGTCTTGGACATGTATTTCTCAAGCCAACCCTTTGAAGAAATGTGCTCAGGAAAGGAAAACATAATATTTTTTGGTTATTTGTAAATTTAGGGTTCTTCGTGTGTTTTATATTTAATGAACAAAATTCAATTGTGATAGTTGAAGAAAAAGGCTTTCCATAATCAAAAAAAAAAAAAAAACCTTTATCAGTAGCTATGAACTCTGAAAAATAATTTTTTAAAAACATATAAGCAGAAGACCACTTTAGTACAGTATTTCAAAAGCGTTATTAGTTTAAAATATGTTCAGTTAAAACTTTACATTTCTGCTTCATTCCTTCTTGGGAGCCTTAGTTGCTGATACAGAAAGGGGATTTACAACTATTTGTGATGTTTTTACCACTAAAGGTTTATGGTAAATGTGGCAAAAACATTAGTTCATGAATTTCTATAAGATTTTTTATGCCATGGTAAGAGTGCTATTTGAGTTATCCACTGCAGTCACTATAAACCTTTTATAAGTTTAGCACTTGCTTCTGGAATCATGTTGGATCTAGAACCACTCCTATTTACGCATTCTGATAAACCTCATTTGAATGAAAAGCTGAGTCTTCTAAAGCTAATATCCTTTTCTGTTAAGTGGAATTATCATGATAATCTTTATTCAGTAAAGATTTCTTCTGTAGAAGAATTTGCTTTTAGCAATATCTAGAATAGCAATAAGGCAATTTGGAGTCTTAATGTGAAAGACCATTATGTGAAAATGTTTTATAAATTGAGTGCAATAAGAATGAGTGTCACTTCTCTGCTTCCTAAAATCTAAGACCTTATTCATTCTTTGTTGTCTGGTTCTCAATTTCATTTTTTTCTGTTACTTCATTTTCCTTCCCTTTTTTTCTTTTCCCTGTTTTTGTCCACCCTGTGGTGCCTAATAGCATCTATAAATGTGATCTTATTGGGAGTTTCTGGATTAAAGTAGTTACTGACCTTTCCTCTGGATCATATAAAGAACATATGTTCTGTCCAGACCTAATCACTACACTATCATAAACTTTCATCTAGGGAAATAGGTGTTTTCTTTGAACCTATTTTCTTGTGTTTCCTTGTGGTCAGGGAAACCTTGCCTCATTAAACAGAAAAAAACAAACAAAACAAAACACACTTTATTACTTGTATTTGTGGCAGAAGAAGTTATGATAACCTAAAAAAAGATTTGATTCTGAGCAGTGATACTATCTATACTTTTAAGAAACACAGGGTAGGGATATTTGGGATGGGAATTGGGGATAAAAGCAGTTTATGAGTATTTTCTTCAGGGCAGGATGTCAGTTTGACTTCATTGTTTTATATTAAGTATTGTGAATTGCCAGAATGATCAATACATCCCCATCCAAATGTGCCAGAATGCATTCCACTGTGGAATTTGAGTGACTGAAATTTTCCCCCCTCTTCATTGGTCTGGTTTAAAAAAAAAAATTGTCCGGGGATTAAGGGAAAATCATATTATCTCTAAATAATCATGACCACAGATGAATTGCTCTGGATGGGTCTGTATACTGGACTGAATCATCTTCTACCAGTTTTACGCATAGCTTCAAAGTTTCTCTTTACTGGCTTGTTTGCTTAAATGCAACTGTGAAACTAAAGATGAAAGCCATAGAGAAATGACAGCCTCAAGTCTGTCTCCTTTAAGGACTTAATATATGGGGATCACTGTAAGTCATGAATAAGATGGGGAAAAGTTGAATATTTCTGTTACTACTTCATGTTGTAAAAAGATTTAGAAAAATTTAAACTGAATAATCTAGTTGCTTTGATTTTCCTTCCAAGAAAACTCAGTTTGGTTAACTAAATAGAGGAGTGGTCTCAGCTATGGATTATAGTAAAAATTCAGATGACGTTTCTACATATACAGGAAGTAGAAGAAACACAAGAAGACATTTATGTTGTAGGGATCCTAATGTCTTTTATCATATAAATATTACACACAAAAAAAACTTACATTAGGTATCAAAAAAAAACTTTACAATCTGTACATTTGTTTTTTTTCTTGTAGCTCTTTACATTATACATCTTTAGACAGAAATTCACAAATGATCAGTAAAAAGGTGAGTCAATAGCAAAGAAAACGAGAAGCAACATTGCTGTTGATAAAATACGATTTGTCTTTGTTTTGGCAGATAAATATCTGCCCAAACTCATTTCAAATCAGTATGAGACAAAAATTTGCATTCTAGGCTTTAAAAACCAAAAACTTGTTTCAGATTATTTCTGTAGGTTCCACTAACTCCATATAGTTCAACACAAATAATATTAATTTATATACTATACTTCTTTGGCCCTTGCTGGACTGTAAAAATCTGTGGTGAAACTACTGCCTCCTTATCCATTTCAGTGATAAATTCTGCAATGCTTGAGACCCTCTAGCCATGTTAATTTGACCAAGGGGACTGTGACTTTAATTTCTATAGATTACAGATTACTTACCTAAAAACCTGGGATTTTTATTTTTGATGGAGGGTAAGAAGAATGAGAAAAATTGTGTTTCATGACTATGTTTAAAGAAATTGAGCTAGACACTCTTTAGTCTATATCAGAAGAAAATAATAGTAAAGAATATGACTTTTAAAGTTTACTGTAAACTCACATTTGTTCCATATAAAGCAAGTAACAAAGTGCTGCTGTAAATTTGTATATCAGATGGTGGATCTAAGCAGCTTCACTTTGGGAATTTATGAGTTTAGATTTAGAAAAGGGTAAATTTTTATGTAAAGTGATTCTTTAAAGTTTAATGAAACACTACAAGTTAGTTCTCTCTCTGAAATTGAGTACAAAGAAGTACACAAATGGGAACTGGTCTTTCATCAAAGAAATTTCTTGAACTAAATCCTCCAAGTAAACAACACTGTATATATTCTTTATATTCTTATGAAGACTGTTGGCTATAGGTTTGCAACTTTTAATTGTTAAAATTATATTCTTGGCAATTGGTCAACTTGTATAGGAATTTCAAATCACCCTGGTACCAGACTTGGTAAGCATGCTAAGACTCCCCAAGAAAGAAAATGATCTTATGAATTTTTTTAGAGAACTGAAAAGAAGCTGACAAAGGAGTTTGTGAATATTTGCCCAGGCACCTAAACGAGCCCATTTATCATTAACCTTCATAATAGAAAACTCATAAGACTGCTACTTGAGATTTTGCCAAACAATTCAGTTTACATTGTGAGCAATTACTTCATCTTGTAACAAACTGAACTTTATATTTGTGAGTTTGTGTAGTTGACTAAAAGTTGTTTAATTCACTTACACATTTTATGAAAGAGGAAACAAAATTCCAAGCCACATGCATGCCTGATATTGTATATACATATTGTATACATATGTACATGATGTTAGCTGTTACTTAAGCCACTGATCCAATTAGCTTATTTCTAAATAGTATTAATAGTAAAGACAGTTTAAGCACAAATTCGGTTCAAAAGAGAACTTTAAAAATAGTTTACTTCAAGAAAAAAGATAAAGATGGAACATGAAGAGTTAAACAGACTCTTCACAGACTTTTTTTTTTAAAGCCATAAATTCCTAATTCTATCCATTATAGATTACATGAAGAGAAACATTTGCATTATGTTTATTTTAGCTAATCAGCTAGTCATATATGAGATGGTAATAGCTATGTTTCCAGGTATTTAATTTGGTTACTTACTTTATGATGACTATAAGACTACAGCTATGATTTGACCTGCAATCGGATAATGTTATGTTTAATAGGCCTCTAAAAAGTTGTGGCTACATCTCTAGGAGTTCACTTCTAGGTAGATAATGCTCATTTGTGTATGAGCATAGTGAGGAAGGAGGGGAAAGAAAATAATTTATTAGATCTGAGGTAGTGAAGTAGGAACTAGATTCACAAAGAATGCTGGGATATAGAAGAAGTAAATCTACTTTTGGAATATGGGTATTTTTCTTCTATAAGCAAGCTTTGGATGGAACAAAGTAATCCCTTAGTTCACAGAAAACCTGGGGAAGGAAGCAAATTCATTTTCCAGAGATTTTTAGTTCTAAGTAGTAATCAGCCAGGCAGGCTACTTGATAGCTGCCTTGTCAGGAAACTATGTTTTAGCATACTTTTGGAAGGGGTGGGGGTGGGGGGTTGTGTTTGTGGTATGAATGGCAAAAGTTTTGTATTCTTCAGCTTTCCTCTTTTAGGGTTTAAAAAAAAAAAAAAGGTAACTGGCCTTTCCTTTTAAGTACTCCTTTAAAAGTCAGTCTGTCTGTCTAAGGTTCCATGGGTCTTTGTGTTAATCAGCTTAGGAAATGAAATCGCCAGTACACTCATCTACAGAATGTGCTTCTTGAGTTTCTGGGCTAAGAACAGTCACCGTGCTCCATTTGAGGTAAGACATGATTGCTTTTCTCAAACCGTAGGGATTCTATTTTCTTCTGTGCATATTTCAGTTGGATCTTTAGGGCATCATTATCTGCTTTCAGGGTATTTATTTCCTAAAGAGAAAGGAGAATGAGGTATGTCAATAAAGCAGCAATGAATAGCAAATCAGTTATAAAATCAGGAGTACTATCTATACTTGATTGGCATCTCCTATTCACTGTGGCTGAGAATTAAAAACTATTTTCAAGACAGTTATTTTGTCCTGAATAGAAAATAACAAGTTAAATAACAAATGAGCATGTGTAAACAGCAATTAGTCTTTGTTATCACATCAAAGATAAGAGTGGCTAGCAGGTAGAAAAACCCATTCAGGGCAATAGGTAGATAATGATAAAACCTTTGGATATGGTGGAGCAGATTTTCTTAACTTGGCAGAAACAAATAGTCTGGTCAGGTCAGAGAATAAAGGCAGTGACTGCGAATTCTGTAATATGAGATGTTATAGTTCATTTAATCTTTTCCTCCCAAATCATTGAAAACTACCCTTTTGATAAAGATAATTTTACCCCACCTCCTAAACTGGGATTTAGTAATCTAATTTGTAGTGATTTATAGAACCAACAGTTGATTCCCAGTCTTCTGATTTTGAGTCTAGTGTTCTCACATCATACAACACTGATTACCCTAAAAGAATATATAGACAATATCTGGCTAGTTTGGGATACTCCGGGTTGTTACTTAACCTGAATTACCTAGATAGCTCTCTGCTAGCTACTGTGTAGTATTGAATACTTGCTCTGTGCCTGGTGCTGTGTTACATGGTAGTAGAATACCTTAACCTTCACAGACTCCCCGAAAATAGGTGGTATATCTTGATTTTATAGAAGCAGAAAATGTTGCCATATAGTATCAGACTGGAAATTTGAACCCAGGTATATCCAACCAGAAGAGACTTTGTTTTTTCTTTTGTCCCATGCTTCAACATGTTACAAAATACACATACTATGTACATATACACTTAAAATATGTAAAGTTTGTTAGTACTTATATTAATATATATTACGTATTATTTTTAAATACTGATTTGGTTTGACTAGTTACTGTTGAATTACAGACAAATCACTAAGGATTTTACTTAGTGGGAAAGTAGGACACATTATTGTTCCTCTAAAATGTATACCAAATTCTGGTCCTTACGTCTATTTGACAAGGTTAAAAGTTAAAAAGAGGCAACTGTAAAGATGGTTAGGGGGTTTACTGGTTCTGGTATTATTACTGGGTAGGAATTATTCTGTGCCTAACTCATCTGAAATCTTTCTACAAGTCACTTCTCCCAGCATTGCTGAAGCTATATTGTTCCCTTTTGTAGGCATGTATGATGTCAAGATTCAAAGCACATCTTAGAGAGCATGGAATCCCAGCCCTGTATTTTACAGAGGACCAAACAGGTTGTTGAGTTTAACAGGTGGCATAAGAAACATCTGGGACTGGAAACACAAATTTTTGTCTCCAAGACCAAAGTTCTTTCTACTCTATCAAATTCATTTTTCAAGATTTCTTTTGTTTTTAAAAGTTGCATTAGGCAGTTTCTACCCCTAAAGAGAAGGATTTGTGCAGTCCACATTTTGTCACCTTCTGTTGACTTGATTCTTAAAGCACATCTTAAAAATACTCTGAGCAAGAGAGCACTTTTCATCCAGAAAATCTGTTGGTTTTTTTTTTTTTTTTCATACATTCCTCTTAATATTATGTTCTTTGTTCCAGGTACCAAATCAAGAGTTTCACACAGTATGTAACTTGTTTCTTCAAATGTTTCTCTAATTCAGTTCCTAGGAATCTGACAAGGAAGGTACAACACTGAGACCAATGCAGGGAATTCAGAGGCTCTCGTGGGCAGTTTCACCATGCAGTATGTAGAATTATATAAGCAATTCTAGCTAGGTGGATGTTGTTTTTGTGTTTGTACTGATAAGCCTCCAAAAACATGGTGCAAAACCTTGACGTTGTGGGGAAAAAGGCAGACATACATTCCTCCTCCTTTAATAAAGTGAATAATGTTGAAGCAATGTATCCTTGCCTCCCTGTTTCTAAAGTGGCTTAAATTACCTATAATTGTTTAGAAACTACTGTCCCGTGATGAAAGGTCTATCTAAGCCAGCTCTCACCATGAGCAAACAAAAATTGAATATCTAGACAACTGCCTGTTGTTTCTAGTTGAAGGCCCATCTTTCTCCTTCTGCTTGCATCTCCTATTTTCCTATCTTTTTAACCTCATGTTTGTGTTTGCTTCTCTCAAATCTTGGCACCATGTTCCCAAACTCTTGTTCTCCTTATCTTGGTAAACTTTCTTTAGTTTTTCCCAATGCCTCCATGAGGTGCCTGATAATTAGAATATTGTGAGCCTAACATAAAAAAGAAGATTCTGGTTTGACAATTGTTAACATTTTATAGATCATATTGCTTTATATTTCATTCAACTGTGTATTTGCCTGCTACTGTTGATTTAGCTGTTCTAGTAAGTGTAGAAGGTCAACACCTTCCCTGATGTGTTAGAAAAGATTCCCCTCATTTGTATTAACAGGAAGTCCTATTTGCTGATGATATCAGCAGTGATACTGGCCAGAGGTGAATTGATGTTAGTAAAGTTTCCTCTAAAAAAAAATAAAATAAAAAATAAAAAAAATTCACTTGGAAATTTATGTTATTGTCCATCAGCCATCACTGGAAGTAGAAACAAGTTACTCTTTAGAGGTAATGGGGACATTTGTGTGTCGTGCCATTTCAGGAGTTCTACACAAATTCTACTTGCCCTCAAATATTTGTTGAATTGTCTACTCTTCCTTCATTCAATCTTAAGAATCCCATCAAAACAACACAAAAATGGGTAACTGTGAAATGATGGATATGTTTATTTATTTCACTATAGTAGCCTTGCAGTCATATGTCTCCCATAATGCCATGTTGTATACCTTAAAAATATACAATAATATTTTTAAAAGAAAAAAAAAGAGGGAGGCCTTTCCTGTGGTGAGCTACAATACACTTACTTTTCTTCACCCCCAACCCTTTTTTTGTTGTTGTTGCACTAAGATCACCTACCGTTTTTTAGGAGGATGCCTAGGCAACCATAAAAATCCTAAACTATAACCCCCCAAAGAACAGGTTAACAAAGATCTCTAGGGAAGGAGGATTTAGGCAAGTTTGTTTTAAGTTCCATCTAGAAAAGGTGTCTGGTGTCAGCACAGTAAAGCTGACCATTAGAAACTGTGGCTGTTCTCAATGAGCCTACAAAGCTTTGGGCACTAGCACCAGCACTGAAATGGTACCTGTATGGTGATAGAGAGCCCTGTAAATTCTGTTCTATTTGTGTAATGTGAACCAGGGCCCTCAATGGGCTCATTGTGAGAAAGCTGGAATCCATCCTCCCTCTCTCCCTTTTTTTTTAACTTTATCCAGCTAGTAATCAACCTGATTTGAACCTTCAGAATCTACAGTTCACATGTTCTTCTCTGGTTTAGCCCTGCTCCTCTAAGAGAGTCTGTAAAAATGGAAAATGAAAAGAAAAGTACCTGTTCCAGCTCTTGGTAGGTTGGGAGTCTGAGGTGACGGAGCTCCTCCTTTGATTTTATGAGGGATTCTTTATTCTCCCACTTGACAAAAGCCCGCTTTCTGACCAGGACGGGGCTGGGGCATGGAGATGTGGGACTAGGAAGCACATAAAGAGTATCTGGAGCTGTCTTCCTTGGGGAAGACAGCACAAAGGGACCAGAAGGGCCCTCACTGCCAATCCAAGGCAGTGATTCAGTCTGGGTGGCCTTGTGGGCTACAGTTCTCTTCAGCCGAACGGAAATCTTCTGTGAGGACACTCCCATCAGCATGATGGTCCGATCCTTACTCTCCTCACTGTGTTCCACAGCCTCCCCATTAGCGAATGTAAAAGGTCCTTCCTCAGGTGCTGTAGGAAGATACATGACATGTTTGTACTCTAGCTTAGGAAAGTGGAGACTCAAGATTGACATTTTAGTTTCAAATGAGGCCTTTCTTATGGTTAATGGAGTTCCATATGTCCAAAGAGGACCCATTTTCAGGTACCCAAGTTAGTGGATGAGTGGGAGCTGAAATCCAGGGTCTTTGTTGGCCAGGCCACACCCACTGATGTCAGGCTGCATCCATCTGAGGAAAGGGCATCTTCTGTTTGCACAAAGGTTGCCCAGAGAGTTTCTATTTCTGCAGATAAGTTGCAACCCCTGCCTCAATGCTGTAAAGTTTCATAAATTAAAGAGAACAAGATTAACATAAACAGAAATGCTCCATAAATACTTTCTGTGGACCCTGGGATTTGGGAGCTCAGCACTCAAGTCTCAGCCCTGATACAGGTACCCTCCAGCAGCTGGTAGGGAGTCTTGGGACCCATTTGTCCATTTGTACAATGGGCACAGCCTAACTATGAGAGGAAAGTTTTAGCTTTGTGGAAGTGTGTCTCGAAATGTATTGCCCTTGTTTGATACTGATGGGAAAAGGACAGGGGAGTCATTGTGGTTTTCTTCCTTGAACCACCACTCCTGCCTAGGACCCAGCCTAGTAATGTTAACCATAATGAGTAATTTCCTGGGAAAGTAGAGTAAGAGTGGATGTATTTGAGGTGGGTAGTAGGCTTTAAAATAAATTGCAGATCATCTAAGTTTACTGTGTTGCAAAGACTCGGCAGTAATTCTGAGCTCTTTGAAAAATAATTAGGTCCCTATACAACATTTACTAATAAACACAGATTTTGGATTCTGTTTATTCTTTCTTTAAGTGGGGATTAAAAAAATACTATCCTCCAGTTTTTGAGGAAAGAAATGATTATGTAAGAGAAAGTGCCTTTTGGAAAGTAAACATTTGCATCAAAATGTTACTCAATTTTCTAGCTAAGATATTGTATTGGTATAGTCAAAATGGCTTTAAAAAACAAACAAATTCTCTAGCATTTGTAATCTGAGTCAATAGTTCTAATACTAGAAATCCTGTAAGGATCCTGGTTTAGTTTTTCCCAAAGGGAACATAATTTAAATTAAAATTTAATACTTGTCCAAATAAAGCTCAAAATTGTAATTACATTGTTATTTAAGTACCAGGATATTTGAATTGTTAATGTTTACCCTAAAATAATTACATTTTTGTAGGAGTATTAGGCTCGATGATTTTTGTATCTCCATTTTCCAGCTTTGTATAACATACTTATACCTTTTTTACCAAATTATGAATAGTTTCCCAAATTATGACTATAACCCCTTCTATTATTTACGTCAAATTTCTAGACATACAGGGAGCTTGGGACAGAACTTGGGCACTCTACCTTTATGGGAGCAAGAGGAAGGAGGTAAATAAGAAAGCAACAGAAGGGGGCCCTTAAAATTGCAGGAAGAGTTCTAGGAGACCACAGTGTTATAAAAATCAGGAGAGGTACAAGTTTCAAGAACGTGAAAGTTGATAAATACAAAAAGTTATGGTGATATTGAGAAAGATAATAATGGGCAAAAAAGAAATCATTGCAAATTTTGATTCGATGAGCAGGTGCCATCCCAGAGAATAATTAATAATAAAGAGATGGAAGCAATTTGAATGGATGATAATTATATCTAATAGTCAATTTTTCCATTATAAACAGACCTTGGCTTGTAGCAGTTTTACAGCAATTTTTATTTGTTATCCGACCCATTGGTCTATTTCTTGGTAGGTTCTAAGATAGCCTCAGAAACCCTTCCCTTAACATTTTGGCTCAGGGTTGGGGGGGATGGGGAGATGACCCGGAGCAGCCCTTTATTTATTTATTTTATTTTATTTTTTTTCCTTTTTTTTTGTCTTTTTTTTCATGTCTGGCAATGGATCGCAACCCTCAGTGTCGCACCTGTACCGGACCGGGACCGGCAACGGGATCGCAACCCTCGGCGTTGCACCCGCACCTCGCTCAGCCAGTGAGCGGGAACCGGTCTGTATGTGGGATCCAAACCCTCAGCGGGAGCACCGCCGCGCTCCCAAGCGGCGCACTGTAGCAGTGCGCCACCGGGCCGGCCCCGGAGCAGCCCTTTAGGGAGTCCTTTTTGAGGCCCCAGATTCACGTTCTTATCTGCCACCATTTTCCCATGAAAATTTGCATTTTATGTGACAGAATTGTGGTGCCCTAAGGTGATGTATAACTCTTAAATTAGAGAATACATAATATACAGGCCCATTTTTCACAATATTTGTGGTGATTTCTATTGAAAGTTGAACATCAAATCCTTATTTGATTGGCATGTTCTTTCCTGGGGGAAAAAAAACTTAGGGCCTTTTTTAAAAACAAAATATCCCAAAAGTATGAAGTCAGCTTGTGTTTAGATACATAGGATGGAGAAGGATTCAGGAAGATAGAAAATTTGTACTTGGGTAATGTGACAAAATGAATCTGCATTTCTTATATGTAGTAAAGCACTTAAGCTTTGATCTAATTAATCATTATATGCATATAGATATTTACCACTGAACATTAGTGGTAATTTAAATGCAGACTGCATAACACATGGACTTAAAATTTTCTCTAGGTATTTGTTGTAACTGTAGTGGCCTTACCACTTTAGTAATAGCATGTGGTACTGACTATGTGGTAGGCCCAATTTTATGTGCTTTATATAAATAAACTCATCTGCTCCACACAGTGGGGGTAAAGTCATTAGAACAAAGAACAAGTAGTCTGACCTATTGTCAGAAATGATCTTTTCCTTTTTGGTTCTAATTAGAAGTTGCATGGCCTCTTATACTATATAAAACTGGCACTAACCTAATAAGCATTGGATTTGGGGGACCTATGTGTTCTTTAGGCAGAGAGCCAGGTCAAGTGTAGCACTATGCAGCCTTGTCCCGCCACCCCGCTCTTCACTGTAATCATGTCACTGGCCTGTTTTAGTAGCTCCTCATTTCATAATATAGACAGTCCAGTCTGTTCTACCTGGCATTTAAAACTCTCTATACTCCTGAGCGCGGAGGCGCTCCCACCGAGGGTTCGGATCCCACATACAGACTGGTTCCTGCTCACTGGCTGAGCGAGGCGCGGGCGCAGCACTGAGGGTTGCGATCCCATTGCCGGTCCCGGTCCGGGCGCGACACTGAGGGTTGCGGTCCGTTGCCAGACACGAAAAAAGACAAAAAGGAAAAACAAAAACAAAAACAAAAAAAACTCTCTATACTCCTAATCATTTTTCTTCTTCATCTCTTACCTAAACCTTCACTTCTGCCACAACACCTTATTCACCATCTCAATAGCACTAAAGCTTTTCTGCCCCTTGGCTTTTTGTTCCTGATGTACATCCCCTGTCTAGAATGCTCTCCACCTGTCACCCATGACTTAATTCTGCCCTTTCTAAAAGACTTAGCTGAAGTTTCACATTCTCCATGAAGCCTTTCCCAACAGCCTGAGTGCAGCACTCTCTCTACTCTGTACTCCTGTCACTGCAACCTGTTTGTCTGTTAGCACATAGTCTTGCATTGTCTCTAACTTGCGCTGTTTTTTATATTATCTTTCCCCCTAAATAGATCTATTCCATGAAGATAGAGGCGATCCTTTCTGCTTTTTTGCACTTTGGACCTGGGGAGTCTCAACATACTTAGTTTAAAACCATTTCCTTATTCTGTTATTTGCATTTTGACATGAGTGAATTTGCCAATTTATCTCTTACTGAACTTTTTGGCTTAGTCCTAGGATTTTCCTTGTATGATACAGATTTTTAACCTGCAAGCTCCTCTTAAATGGGAGTTTTGCTCCTCCGTTTCCTTTCTGCATTTACCCTTCTTTTTCTAGAATTTTGACAGTTACTTCCACCTGGCCCATCAGAGTCCTGGTCTCAAATTAATGTCTTAGGGCTCCTTTCCTGGAGGAGAATGGGGTATATTACAGACAGTCAACTCAGCCAGTGGATGACTTTGTCTATGGCTAAGTCTGCTTCCTTCTGCTAACCCTAAGATTCAGTTACAGGCTTTTTTCTAGCCTCCTTCCTCAATTTTAAGCAATGAGTCTTCTCTGGTCACCTTTCATGCATAGGTCGTCTCTTACTCTGCAGAAATCAAATTCCCAGCGGCTTCTGCCTGCTACTGGATGTAGAGCCAAGCAGACCAGAGGTTTTAGCTTCCACTTCTTGCAGTGTATTTTTATTTCTTTTCTGAGCTACAGGGATGTTTGTTTTTGAATGTACCTATGCCTTTTAAATTAACGTTAATCATATACCACATGTTATAAATGTTACGCACACACATGCATTCATTTACATGTTTTGGGTTTGGAGCTGGGTATGGTGTGGGATACCTTAAGTGTTAATTTGAGGCACTATCTCAGCTTGAATTCACTATCTCCATTTGGTGTAGGTGCTCAGTAAACAGCTGCTGTTTTTTTATGCCTAACTTTCACTCTGTTATTCCAGCACCTTTAGGTCTGAGACACAGGCAGGGAGCTGAAATCCAGAACTGTGGGAGGAGTGAGCCCTGGCAACTGAGGTCAAGCTTAACTGAAACTCAGACATACAATCATGAGGTAATCTTTCCTTCCCCAAAGCTTTACTCTTGCTGCTTCACTATCCAAGATGAATGTTCCCCAGGCCTACTTACCATGGAGTAGATCTTTGGCCCCCAGTGAGCAAAGGTTGGACGGTGGCCCCACAGAAGAGCTGTTCTCTATGGGAGCTGCTGGGTTCTTGGCTCGCTTCTTGCACTCAAACACGACCAGATCTTTGCATTGTTTATGGCAGTTCATCCCGCAGTCTGTGGACAAGACACCCTGTTCAAGAAGTCTTTCACTTTCTCCTTAAGGGCTCACAACCAAATTCATGCAGTGCTGTCCTGTCACACATGTCTGTCCTATCTTCTGGAGCTAGGACACCTAACATTTCCAATGAACCTAGCATTCTTCTCCCTTGGTAATCCCTGGATCTCACAATCTTGTCATAGTCCTTATCAGTAAGTCTCAGAACAAGAAGCAGCATCCTGTTATTTTGAAAGGAAGAGATGGTGTCCTGGTCATCCCACACATCGTGCCTACTCTAGAGACCCTCTGGAAGCTCCCAGCTGTTAAGTCTTATTCTTTCTTCTTTGCAGTAAATGGTCTCCTCTCCATCACTCCTGAATTTTCCTGTTCACAAGGAAGGACAGTTATGTCCTGAGGTATCTACTGATAAAAGGAAAGCAGCCAAAGGCCTCTGATAATCATTTATCTTCTATTCCAGAAGTGATTCTGTCCTTCACATTGGGGACCCACCCTTCCATGAGTATATGCGAGTACAGTCTCCTACCAGCCATCCCTATTTCCAGGGCTGAAAGAGGATCATGGAAAGGAAAACTAAATAAGTCGTCACCCAGACATTCCTCTTCAGTGTGATGGCAGTCACTATCGGGGGGTACCCTAGCTAGGGAAGCCAGTTTGGGGATGAGGCTCTGAACTCTGCTGAGAAGTTGTGGACTGAATGGACAACTACTGTGGGTAGAAAAATGCTTTAGAGGAGAGCCCCTAAGACCAGGGAAAACAATCAACAAAGCTGTGTCTTACCTTTACATCGATATCCTTGTTTGATCACTCCCCAGAGCTATGAGACAAACAAGAGACAGATGCACCACATCACTCATTTATCTAGTGTGAGGCTACAAGTTGACATTCATTCTTTATTTTCCCTCATTCTACTCTCTAGCTCAAGTGGGAAGGAAACCTCATTAATCTCTCATGTCTTGTTCCTCCTGACCTTAAACTGAAAACAGGAAAAGTTTGTGCTCATCAGAGTCAAATGGTCTTAAGAAGCTCACTATAGTGGCTTTATGACCCAGGCCTTCTCCAGGCCTGTAATGGATGAAACATAGGACAAACAGGCTCCTCAGGACTCCGAACTGAGAAACAAGTACATAGAGTCTTAGGTGAGGAACCTGGGTTTAGGAGGAAACTATTGGTCAGGAGTGGGACAGAGGAGGAGCAGAGCCCTGGTGACCTCTTAAAGGCAGTTCTTTTTGAAAGGGGGAGAAGGGTGTCTTATATTTCTTTTTACTAACATTTAAAACAGCATGTGAATATAACACATGAAAAGTATATCCCCAGTTTGACATTTCCGTACCATTTATCTCAGGCCTCATATATCAGAGAGGAAGAAACAAATCAGGAAAGACTGAGAGCAGATGAGTGCAAGTAAGAACCACACACTTGAGGACTAGGTTGTTCTAGGGGTTTGCTTTGCTCTGAGCTGGGATAAGTTCATAAGGATTGTGAAGTCTAGGTCTGTCTTACTTATTTGAACTGTCCAGTACCCCTCCCCAAGTTCAACACTGAAGTACCCTAAGAACAACTTACGAATCCAGCACAGTTGTCACAGAAAGTGGGTTTTAGGTAGGTGGTCTCTTGGAAGTTGTGAGGAAAGCCCAGTCCCAGCTTGGAGTAGATTGAGCTGGCCCTCATGAAGTAGGCTGTGATCTCATCCCTGCTGATGAGGCCTTCCCTGCCAGCAAATGACAGAGACAAGGATGTGAGTGGAGGGCAGGAGTAGCAAGGGTGGCTTCTAGCCTTAGAAACTCACCTTTCTTTTCATCCTCAAGGGTAATATAAGATATAGTACTTGATGATCACTTCCATGACCCCCTCCTCTTAATAAGGACACAGGATAGCATGTAAGAAGTAGGTGAGGCAGCAGTAGTCATTTCCACAGAGTTGTTCTTTGGCCAAACTAGCTTTTCCTAACTAATTTGACCATTATCCATAATACTTGAAAAAGAGATGATGCAAAAAATGTGTATAGGGAGGGAAATGCCTTATGCTACAGTTTCTGACTTTAGACAGTACATAACTGGAACCCACTAACCCTACATTTGGTTTCCTATAGAGAATCAAGATAGAATGTACGTAACCTTGAGAAAAGTAAATATGCAAAGTATTAAAAATATTAGTTGTTTCCCATAATCTCCCTACAAAGCAAGAAGAAAGACTAAACTTTTTCTTATTTATAGTTGACTCTTCCTAAACCAGCAGAGGTATTTAATATTCTGAGGTATTTAAAAATGCATATATATTTGACGGTCTGTAGTGGTCCAAACTAAAGGCAGAGAGAGGTTCACTTGATGATTGCTCTCTTAGCCTCAATATTCATTAAGCGATCGCAGCAGCAGTACATCCAAGTCTACAGATTCTTTAAGTGACACACTCATAAACTGGTTCTCACCAATTGGTTCATAACTGCATAATCCTATACACAAACCCTTACCTGTCTTTGTCCATCACACAGAAGGAAAATGGAAAACTTGCCGCAATCTTTTCAAACTCTTCCTGAGAAATGTATCCATCCTGGTTGTGATCATAGTTCTTGAAGACAGACTGTAATAAAGGAGTTTTTTTAGTGATTACAAAAGAGAAACCAATCATCTCTCCCTTTAGCCAAATGGTAAAGGAGCTAGGGCAGTTGGATAAAAGCCTCTCAACAGCCTGAAGGACAGGAATGAGGAAGCACATTCCTTGAGCTGTGGCACATATTTGGCAGGTCACATCCCAGGCCTTTGCTGGTACCAGCGTCTAGAGGGTGGCCAGTTGCTTTCAATTGCATTAGCATACCAATTATGCCTTCACCCTGGCTACTGTGTACTCCTAGTTTACCACACAGAGGGATGTTCAACCTCCACTTTGCCCTTCTTTCCTCACTCAGCTCAGATTGCACTTTCTGTAAAAAGCTTCTGTGAACAGCCCAGTTGAAAGTGCTCTCTCCCCACCCTTAATCCTCTGCTCCTCCTCATTCTGTTCTTAGCTTTCTGCTGTCACATGTGAATGGCCCTCAAGGATAAATGCATAAGTATGAAAGTATATACCTCCTCCTCAGCAGTTAGACAGAGAATTGAATCAAGCAGTGCCACAACATTCAATTTTAGATTCTCCTTATTACCCTTACTATACACAAACCTTTCCCAATACCTCTCTGACATCAAGTCAACTGACAGTCTTTAAACATATGCTCTCCTGCTAGGTCTTCAAGAGGAGGCACACCTGCCCCCATAGGAGGCCAAAGTGAGTTGGCAAAACGTAACTTCTGAACTGTTACAACCAAAATATCAGAAGCAAGTGGTTCCCTGTGCTCACAAAGGAATAAGTTTCAAGTGTCTCACTTTTGTGTTTCTGCTGTTGTGCTCCCCTCTCCCTTCTCTCCACATACAAAACTAAGCCAGACAGTGCCTTGCTTTTGTCTGCTGCAACACAGCTGTACTTACATCCACCATCCTCTGGACATGTTTGCTAATGGTCTTTGGGTCAGGTTTAGGAGATACTCCGGAGGCCCAGTCCACTACTACTGGTGGTTTTGAAGGTGTTAGTGGCTAAAATGAAACATTCAGAGAAATCTCCATGACTATGTCATATTATAACCTACTGCTCTTTCCTTTCCCACTACCATATGGTTGCTTTAATGAGCAACCCTCGACTATGTGCAGTGTGCAAAGAGCAGAGAGCCCACATATAATTGAAATCTGTAATAATAATCTTGGCTAATACAGGGTAGTGTAGTTCACAGTTTCCAAAGTGCTCTGCATATACATTATCTCCAAATACGATAACTTAAAATTTTCAATTTGCTTGAATTTTAATTCCCTCTCCATTGAACCTTTTTGTCAGACCTATCAACAAAGTAAAGTGGATCATTTAAATTTCCTCTCTATTGTCTAGTTACTTTTTAGTAGAGATGTGAATAAGGAGAAAACTAGTTAAAAGGAAGACACAGAAGAAAAATATCTGAAGCTGGATAATCTGAGATGGAATCCATTCCTAAATATTTGAAACTTAGACCAAATTAAAATCTCTTCCAAAAACAAGAGAAGTTACCCTTTCCATTGAAATGCCTCTAACAGCCTTTAAATTGGAACTTACCAAATATTTTCAGTGAACATCTTTCATTACAATAGGAAGCTAGAACTTGATCTTTCTGTATAGAGGCAATGAGATTTAGCTACCAGAACAGATAAGCAGGGTTTCTTAAGTGCAGTCAACTCCCTTCCCTTGAGTACCACTTGTTTTGGGGTTGGGAAACTTTCTCGAAGACTGAAATGATTTTCTTTGTCTGTAGTAGAGGCAGAGCCAGATAATTTGTGCAGTTCCTATTGTATGCAGTGCCAGGAGTGTGTGCTATTTTGAGGACTTCTTGACATAACCCAATAGACCGCTCTTTCTGGACCAGAACATTACAGGATAATGCAGCCTTTATATCTACTAAGCTGGAAATCTTCAGAAATTTAGCTTCTTATTATTATGCATATTGCTCTCATTATTATCAATCAATCAGAAAATAAAAACTTATGTGGGGACACTTTTTAATAGGAGAGGGATGTCACTCCAGTCCACAATACTACCTCACTTCTATAATTTATAGAGCATTGATTGATTCCACCACTCCTTTGACACTCTCATGGCATAAAGTTATTTATTGTTCACACATTAGTCTTATCCCTTCAACTATATTGCAAGATCTTTATGGACAAGAACTATTCCTTACACAACTGTTGAAAACCTTTTTCTGTTTCTTGCACAAGGCTGGGCATATAGTGAAAACATGTTATATGCTTACTAAACTGAACTGAAGTCTGCTCCTTAAGATGAACGAACTTGAGCAGCTTGTAAAATACCTGTTACACACAAGGCTTAATATGAAAAACTCACTGGAGCTCTGTGATTCCTTGGTTCCCGAGCATAGGAAAGCTCATAGATTTCATCTTCGGTGTAGTAGAGATCCAGGGATAACTACAGATCAAAGCAGAACAGTATTAATTGCTAGGACGCTATTTGCCTTTCCAGGGCTGATGTAATCTTTCTTGGTTCTTCCTCTCCAGTGGTTTACCCTTCTAGGCTCTTAGCAGTTTATTTTTTAAAATTCTCAAAGATTGGCAGACACCTATTATTGCAATAGGGCAAACATTAGTTTTTTTCTTGTTAAAATGTTTTTAAATTTTGGAGAAGTCCCAAGATGCCCTCTTTTAAACTATGATTTAATATCTAAGACTTTGTATAGAGCTTACACTGTAGGCCTTATCTGACCAGATGGCCCATACCTCATGTGTTCTCTCCCAAAGCAGACAATCTGAAAGGATGGTTTACATGGTCTGATACTGTTAAAATTTGAATCCAGCAACAGAATCTAGTTGGTTAAATGATAACAGGTATTGTTAATCTCCATTAAGAATTAATGAGTTTCATATATGTTAGAACTATAAAATGTTAGAGGAGAGGGAGGTCTTAGAAACAATCTTGTTCTTAACCTTGAGTCTAAGGATGGGCTTCAAAAGGTTTGGAACCCCTTGAAATTACAAGCATATTTTTGAATATATGGCTTATGTATATTTTTCTGGGAAAAAGGTTCACAGATTTCATAACAAGATGTATGATCCAAAAAAGTTAAGATTCAGTGCATCGTTTTACAAATGATGATGTCTAAGGCAGAGCCTTGCCAAGGTCACCTGGCTAATTAGTGAAAGGGCTAGGATCAGACACCAGCATTGGACACGAGCTGAATATGAAGTCTAGGGCTCTATCAAAATGCTCCTGTGAGATAGGAAGAGGCTATGATCATTATTCCATTCCACAAAAAAAAAAGCAGGTTAAAAATTGTATAATTTTAGAACTGAAAGAGATGTTAGAAGTCATCCCAGAGACTAACCTCTCTGAGTTTACAGAGGAGGAAACAGAAACTTGGAGAGCTACATGCCCACAGTCACACAGCTGGTGAACTACAGAATTGCAGGTCTGGAAGGGAGCTCGTCTGATTTCACCTCACACCCAAAGTACAAATCTTAGTCTCCTGCACCACTGGTAAGTGTTCACCTACATTTGGCTTGAATATCTCCAGGAACAGATCTAAACCTGTGGTGGCAGGACCCAAATAATAAACCTGTTTCCTGTTTTTTGTTTTTTGTTTTTTTTTACTGCCTTGCCCTTTTTTTGTGAGAGCACCGTCTCTATCTGTTACCAAGTCTTATATCCTGATTTGCCATCAGCTTCTCCCAAAGAGCTTATGTGCTTTTGCAGAAGTAGGGGAACACTCCTAGAAGTCCGCAGGGCATACTGCTTAAGAGCACAGCCTTTGGAGTCCCACAACCTGGGTCTGAATGCAGGTTCTACTACTTGATAATGCATGCTCCTCTGACATGTTATGTCTCTGTGCCTCTGTATCCCCATCCATAAAATAGAGATAATAATAGTATCTATTTTGTAGAGTTTTTATGAGGATTAACTGAGCTAATATTTGGTAAGGTATGTAGAATGGCTCCAGGCACACAGAGAGTGCTTAATAATTATTCTCCAGTAAGAACCTCACCGTCAGCAGGTGCACCAAGTCCTTGTTGGCCTCTAAGGGTGGGGCCACCTCTTGCAGCTGTACCAGTTCATTGATATGATTGTAAAGGGCCAGCAGCTTGTGGACGTTCACCTTCCCATCCTCCAGATAGTCAGGCATGGCTTCATACAGGGAGATGAGGTCCTTGAGGTGCACTCCCAGGATGGGGATCTTGAAGTGGGTGCACTCTCCATAGGCTCGCCGGTAGTTGTCATAGTTTCTGCAGGAGGACAGCAGCTCAGTCATCTCACCCAGAATCTACAAAGCAGAAGAAGAGACCAATCACAGGTACCTGGAGGGCAGGTTGTATAGTCTGCCATGGCTACCTTGCTTATTCTCATCCCCTACCATGATTCACCCCATCCCTAATTGTTGGGCTAGGGGTGATTCCTCTAAAAGTGCAGATTATGACTCCCAAATGAAAATTTCAGCTATGTGAAATGTCACAGAGCATATTTACAAACACAAGATACGCTTTACTTGATTCTACTATGTAACTTAAAATTTTTAAATGGTGGTTTTATTTATGACTTTTATATTAAAATTTATTTATTTTCAAAAATAAATAATAAAGCACTTGATACAAAAATTTAAAAGGTACAAGAGTGTACAGTGAACAGAAAATGTCTCTTTAACCCCTCTCCCCAAGCCATGCAGTCCCCTTTTCTAGTGTTTTCTGAATGCTTCCAGAGACGCTGCATTACATAACATTTGAAATGTGATGTCAAGAAGTGCCGACTATGTTGTTGGCATGGGGGAAAGCATGTGTTTTAAATGTGGAGCTTTAGCAGTCTATTGTATGTGCTTATTCTTTAAGAGACACTCTGTGGGCCTTATCTCAAGATTCTCAAACTGGATCTATGTCTAGGAAGCACGTGGCATCCTATGCACAGACTGAAACCCTGAATGAAAAGGACTGAATAGACTAGACCAATTCTCAGCAAAGAAAACAAGAGACGATGAGACAGAGGCCTGCAGGAGCCTTCATTAGCACTCATACCCTGCCTGAGCCCTGGAAGTGGGCAGGGCTGCTCACCAGCACAGAAAGGGAGAAGCCAAATGTGATGTTCTTTTTACACACACCCCGTTCAAGTTGGCAAACATTTTACAGATCTTATTCTCCAGGTGTGATGACTAGCGTCCTCAGAAACAAAGATGTGGAGTGAAAGATGGTTCACCAGTCATGTTACCACACAGACTAACCATTTTAGACACTGTACCCAAAATTCTTTTAATAAAATTGTGGCCTAAGATATACCATTTCTCCATAATGAAGAACTTGAGATTTTGGAGTCAGCTCCTCTCAATCCTTTGAGATATCAGGAGAGTCTCCTCCTCACATACCTCTAGCAAACTGGGCAGATGAGCCTGAGGTATGGAAGGTGGTCACATGACAAGAAATTAACAGTAAAAATGATAGAGATATTTTTATATTCCCCTCAGAAGGTGAAATCAACTACTTGGGGGACATTTGCTTCAACCCTGGACTTACTAATTCACTATGTAGACCACTGTGAGGGTCAAGCAGCTTCAGACAGGAAGCACTGTTGTGGGGGACTCCAAGCTGAAGAGGAGCAAGCTCTGTCTTGTAAGCTAAATGACAAAAAGGCATATTTATCTCAGTGACTATTTCCCTCTGTCACCTCTGAGACATGGGCAACCTTTTCAGTTCTATTTTTTCTCAGCAGAACTGTCAGGGAATGAAAAGGTGACTAAAGATCTCGCTTTTGACCAGAACAATGGGATGTGGGGACCTCCCCAGAGGCCCAGAACTGTGATTGAACGCATAATTAATAAGAGATTCCCCCAAAAGGGACTGAACACCTGGGAAAAATGGGTAGGGACAATGAGGCACAGGTATCTCTCCCTAAGAAGAGAGTTGTTCTCCATGCCAGGAGGATTGGGGTTCGAATATAGTAAGGTCCTTTTACATGCGATGAAATGCTCAAAGAGCAGTTGTTATCCAGCTCATGCTCTATGTAGCTGCATTTGTATCCTCAGTATATCATAGTGGTTTATATTTATAACAGCCCTATGTCATAAGAGATTTAAGTACATTCTGTAAAATTTAATTAATAATGTAGGAAAGTACTAGGACATTTAAGGAAAATATTCCATCAATGAAACATCCATTACAAAATGGTATCTGAAGAACTCTTCTCCAACTCTCTGGGAAAATTCAACTGTTCACATTGTCATTCTCCAAGAGTTCTGGAGAGCCAGGTTTTTAACTTATCACTATATAATTACACTCAATGTGGAAAGTGAACTATGGTCAATTGAACCACTGTTCCTTTTGAGAGAACGTTCTGGAGCAAGGAGCTGAAGCAAGGAACTCAATGTTAAAGATGGTGACTCTGGGCCTGAAAGCAGGCAAGAGAGTATGCCTGGGGTCCTAAGGCAGGTGCCAAGGACAGCATCCTCTGTCCGGAAGCAGGTAAGGAGCACACTGAAAACAACAGCTCCATGTGGGTGGCCTACGCCAGCCACAGCCACTGCCACAGCTGATGCAAAAATGGCAGACACCATAGCAGTAACCACAGCTACTGTGCAGGTGGCCTGCCAGACACGTGACTGCACTGACACAAGGAGAATCACCAGCAAAGACTGGAAAAAGAAGAGGATATTATAGAAGAAACATCTACTCTACAATATTAGTGGGGGACCTGAACACTCCTCTCAGCATTGGACAGATCATCTAGGCAACAAATCAACAGAGAAACTGTTAGTCTTTAAGAAGGAGAGAACAAATCTATGGTTATTAGAGGTGGGAGCTGGAAACACCACAGCAGTAACCACAGCTACTGTGCAGGTGGCCCACCAGACATTTGACTGCACTGATATAAGGAGAGTCACCACCAGAGACTAGGAAAAAAAAGAGGACATCTCTCTCCTCAGAGCCCACTTCAGCATAACAGAAGTAACTGCTCTACCCTATGACCAGACATCAATGTAGATGCACTAGAAATATGAAAACCGGGGCCGGCCCGGTGGCGCACTGGATAAGTGCACCGCTTGGGAAGCGCGGCGGCGCTCCCGCCTGAGGGTTCGGATCCCACATACAGACCGGTTCCCGCTCACTGGCTGAGTGAGGCACGGGAGCAACACCCAGGGTTGCAATCCCGTTGCCGGTCCCTGGTCCGGTACGGGGGCGACACTGAGGGTTGCGATCCGTTGCCGGACACGGAAAAAGACAAAAGACAAAAAAAAAAAAAAAAAGAAAGAAAGAAATATGAAAACCGAAGAAAATATGACACCACCAAAAGAATACAGTAATTCTCAGGTACCAGACCCTATAGAGTAGGAAATCCTTGAAATGACTGAAAAGGAATTCTGTGCTACAATCTTAAGAAAACTCACTGAGAAACAAGAAGACTCAGACAACAAGTTGAAATGAGAAAAAATATACAGGATACGAAGGAGGAAGTTTACAAAGAGATTGATACCTTAAAAAATGTAGCAGAACTCATGGAACTGAAAAATTCACTCAACAAAATAAAAATCACAACCAATAGCTTAAGCAGCAGGCTATGAAAAGTAGAAGAAAGAAATTTCAGATCTTGAAGATAATGTTTTCAAAATAACCCAGGTGGACAGAAAAAAAAAAGTTTTAAAAAATGAAGAAGATCTAAGAGAGCTAGCAGACAACCTTAAGTGCACAAACCATTCGAATCATGGGTGTTCCAGAAGGGTAGGAGAAAGGAAAAGGCATTGAAAACCTATTCAATTAAATAATAATGGAAAATTTCCCAGGTATATGGAGAGACATGGACCTTCAGATCCAGGAGGTTCAAAGATTCAACCCCAAAAGATCCTCTCCAAGACACATTATAGTCAAACTGGCAAAGCTCCAAGACAGAGTATCTTAAAAGAAGAAAGAGAAAAGCATCAAGTCACCTGCAAGGGAGCCCCTATCAGACTAACAGCAGACTTCTCAAAAGAAACTCTACAGGCCAGAAGAAAATGGGATGACATATTCAAAATACTAAAATAAAAAAACTGCCAGCCAAGAATACTATACCCAGCAAGCCTATCCTTCAGAAATGAGGAGAAAATAATGTATTTTACAGACAAACAAAAACTGGGTTTTCACCACCATATGACCAGCCCTGCAAGAAATCCTCAAGGGAGTCTTGCATCTGGAATCCAAAAAAACAATAATCACTACCATGAATATGCAAGAAAGAACAGAACCCACTGGTAGAACAAAAATCTAAACAAGAAAGAGAAAGAAACTAAATCTTTTTTTTTAAAGATGACCAGTAAGGGGATCTTAAACCTTGACTTGGTGTTGTCAGCACCATGCTCTCTGAAGTGAGCCACGGGCTGGCCCTAAGAAACTAAATCTTACCACCACAAAAAAAACATAATGACAATGTAAAAGTGCCCCTGCTTTATTTCTGATTTTAGTAATTTCAGTCCTCTTTTTGTCTTGGTCAGTCTAGGTAAAGGTTTGCAAATTTTGTTGATCTTCTTAAAGAATCAGCTTTTGGTTTTGTTGATCTTTCTATTATTTTTTAATTCCCTATTATATATATTTCTGTTGTAATCTTTGTTATTTCCTACTTACATTTGCTTTTGGTATAGTTTGCTCTTCTTCTATTTTCTTAAGGTAGAAGTTTCCATTACTGATTTGAGATTTTTCTTATGTTTAATATAAGTGTTTACAAGGGTAAATTTTCCTCTAAGCACTGCAATGAGCCCTGCATCCTATAAATTTTGATATGTTGTGCTTTGATTTTGTCTCAAAGTATTCTCTAATTTCCCTGTGATACTTCTTTTAAAGCATTGTTTATTTAGGAGAGTGTTTAATTTCCACGTTTGTGAATTTCCTAAATTTCCTTCTGTTATTGTGATCAGTGAACATATTTTCTATGATCTTAGTCTTTTTAAATGTATTAAGACTTATTTTGTGGCCAAAAAAAATAAAAAATAAAAAAGATGGTGACTCAGAATATTCAGTGGCATGAACATGGGAAAGAGGCATGGAAAGAGGGATGAACATGGGAAAGAGGCATGAACATGGGAAAAAGGCACCCAGTACTTCAATTGGCTCAGTAGGAATGTGTGTAGTGACACCGTCTGTAGCCAGACAGAATCACATTCACTCTCAAATCTGTGACTTCCCCATCCTGTGGATTTCCTTAGGGTTTGCCTCCCTAGTACTTTGCTTGGTTGACAAGGGATGATATGGTTTGGAAATGTTCTCTGGATTGCTCCTCAAGGAGAAAACATTGGCACTCACACTCAGAATGCTGCTAAGATCCCCAGAGAAGACAATAGCACTGACCTTATTGATTTCATGGGGGACGTGCGAACTTGTCTCCTTGAGCCTGGAGATTGAGCTGTGACAGAGTCCACCTATCACAGCCATCAATGTATTGAAGTTCTGTAGTTGGTGGAGCTTCTGTGACACAGAAAATGGGTCATAGTAGAGTCATTCATTACACATGTCAGTTATACAGTGAGCATAAAAAGGCTGCCTCTCATCTTTGTGCCAGAGTCTTCCTTATACTTGTCAAACACCAGCAATCAGGTGTTGCAATTTTCTGTCCATTTCTCCCCTTAGACTGGTGGATCACTAATCTAGCAAGATGTCACATCCCCCTTGCTGTGTTATAGCCAATTTGTGGACCACCATTTACATCAGTGTTTTCTAAGAATCACCCAAAGTACTTGTTTAACACAAAAATTTCTGGACCTAAACCCAGACATTCTGATTCCCTTGATCTGGGGTTGGGCTAAGATATCTGTACTTTTAATATACCTTTAGTCAACATAAGAGCAGATGGTTCATGTACCAAGCTTTGAGAAAAACTGGTTTAGACCCTCCAGAGTTGGAAGTATATATCATTAAGTATAATCTTTTATTTCCTTTATCCAAAATTTATGAGGCTTTTATTTTCAAGGGTAAGAACTTTGTCTTATCCCCCTGTGCAATGCCAGTGCCCACACAGGACAGTAATTGGGGTAGAGAAGCTAGAATCTCTGGGGAATTTCAAATATGAGTTCATAGTATCTGTTTTCCTCATATCAAGTGCTTAACCTCTGCTCTCTCAAACATTAAATGCAACTATTCAATGCAGCATGGACTTAAAAACCTATGACAACCCAGGCTGGTCCAGCTCTAGTAAAACTTAGAATTGCCTTTGCCATGTGGGTCACATTTGGGAAAATAAATGTAGGCTGGTAAGCATCTTCTGAAAAATGATAAAGGTATAAACAGATCTAAAACCGTATACTGACTGCTGAAATGGCCTGTGTGGCCCTTTCCACATTGTCCTCATATGGGAAAATAGAAAAGTCACCATATCTAGATCTGGGGACAGCTGATGGCACACAAACCTCATCATGGTTCAGGAGGGAAAAAGAGCTCTAATTTGACAGACTAGGCTCTGGGGGAAAGATAATTTACCTCACAGCCCAGGCCAAAAGTCTTAATCCAGTCACTTACCTGAGCCACCTGGATGAACTTGATAAATACTTCTGCTCGGAGCTGCGGGGTGGGGCGGCTGAGAACCATCAGTTGTACCCACTGGGAGATGCCATTGCATAGGGCAATGGACCGCTCCATGGTAGGATTCTCCTTCACACAGCTATTTACAAGGTAATTTTGATAATCGGTGAACTAGGGGAAAAAAAACAAACCATAAGGACTGCTATGCTCTGGTATTCTCGGAGTTCCGAGGGGCAAGTCAGCTCTACTCAGTTAATGGCTAGGAACTGATATGGGACAGAGGAGCTCCTGGCCCTCCTCTCCTGCATCTTCATCACTCAGCCAACAAGAATAATGGGAGGAAAATCTTTCTTATTCTACCCACAGCATGGTCTTTCAACATCAAAAGTCATTAGGCACAAATGAATGTGTACGCACATTGGTTAATCTAAATACAGTCATGCCTCACTTACTGATGGGGATACGTTCTGAGAAATGCATCCTTAGGCAATTTTGTCGTTGTGTGAATGTCATGTAGTATACTTAACACAAACCTAGATGGTATAGTCTACTGCACACCTAGGCTCTATGGTGCAGCCTATTGTTCCTATGCTGTAAACCTGTACAGCATGTTACTGTAGTGAATACTGTAGGCAACTGTCACACAGTGGTAAGAAGTGTTTGTATATCTAAACAGAAAAGGTACAGTAAAAATAAGGTATTATAATTTTATGGAACCATAGTCATTTATGTGGTCCATCGTTGACTGAAACATTATGCAGCACATGACTGTACTATATTTGAATAGGTTATTGTTACTGCCCCTTCCAAATTCTAAGTATAGAAGAAAAATCTCAGTGTTAGTTCCAGTTCTGATGCTGAAGTTAAGGAAATTAAAGATAATTTCCCTCCCCAAAATGAATTCTCTCTCCTTACCTTAAAAATGTGATGATAAAATCTGCCTTATCTAGGACATGGAGTTGTTAGGAAGATCAAACAAGATAATGTGTGAAAGCACTTTAACTTTTCAAAGTGCTACATAAATGTGAGGCAGTGCTAATGGGATAATTATTAACCTCATGCTAAAACAAGCTTGTTTGGATTTCCTTCTACTCACCAACTTGAGCAGAGGCCAAGTGAATGGGGTACATGAAACTTAGTCAACCATATATTTAGTGACCACAGTTTCCCAGCTTCACAATGGCACTGAGTATGGTTGACAATGAAACAGCATATGTAAAACTGGAAATGTCTTGGAAGATGTGGTCTAAGTGATGATTGTAACTATCTGTCCCTGAGTATAATTAAAAATCCCTCTGCCCAAATAGTATAATTAAAAGGGAGGAATTAATAGTATGCTCTTCTCCAACACTCCTATGGGAGTCTTTGGTGCTATTCCCCAGTTATTTCCAGCCCTCCTGTAGTGGATTGAATTATGTCCCCCCAAAACTCCCTGAAACTTGAATTGTGTTCCCCAAGTTTTATGTATTAGAAACTTAGTCCCCACTGTGACTGTTAAGAGGGTGGGGAATCCTATTATGGTAATTGAAAGGTGGAGCCTTGAAGAGGTAATTGGATTGTAGGACCGTGCAGTAGTGAATGGATTAAATATGGTGGTCAGGGGTGTGGTTCTGAGGGCTTTAAAAGAAGAGGAGAGTCTGTCTCTCTCTCTCTCTCTGCTTCCACCATCCCGCAATGTGAGACCCCTGGGTCATTGTTGCCACGAACAGTTGGAGTTTGGATTTCCCAGCCTCAGAAACTATAAGCAATAAATTTCATTTCCTTTATAAATCACTCAGTTCAGTGTACTTTGTTATAAGCAACAAAAACAGACTAATATACCTCCCCTTCTGAACTCTTCCCTTTGAGAGCAAGTATGTTCATGTGATGTAGTTTAGCCAGTAGAATGTGAGTGGAAGTGATGTGACTTTGGAGGGAAAGATAAAAGAGCCAGTGAATGATTTGCCACATTGCCTTCCCACTGCTGCAGAGACGTGGGAATCCCTGTCCAGACAAAGCTTCCATCACCTGGGTCCCTAAGTCACTCTGATCAGCCCCTGCTGACCCACGTTAGATTTGAAGTATGAGTGAAAAATATACTTATGCTTTGTTAAGCCACTTGGATTGTGAGGGAGGGAGTGGTGGGGGGTTGTTACTGAAGTACACCTTAGTCATGCCTCAGTAGTAAACTCACTGAGAAGAACTCATAACCTAAATAAAATAGTTGCAAATTAACTGAGCCCCATTTTACTGTGTTGTGATTGTTGAGGGTGGAAATATGTGAGTAGGACCAAAATCACTCCTTAAGAGAGACATGGGAATCAAAAATCTTACTGTTTCTAAGAGAAAGTTGCCATAACTCATTCCAATGAATACATCCTATATATACCTCCCACTATAAATATAATATTGAATCCACTTGTTTTCTAAAATAATTATTCTGGTAATTTCCTCAAACTTCCCCCCCGCCAAGTGTTGTAATAAACAGAAAATATCAAATGCCTTTCAATTTACAGCAGAAATAAATTTCCCCTCCAACTTCATGTTGGAGAGAAAATTATTAATTGGTAAAACTGTTTGGAACTTCGTGGGAAAAACAAAAATCCCCAAAACAGTTTTCTTCTATGAAGGGACCATGCCACTCAAAAGAACTGAAGGTTCAAATTGATGTTTTCTTTTGCAAATATAACACTGCTCCACCCCCAGGGACCCTGGCTCAGATTGCTTGTTCTGCACTGGTTTTTCACTTCTGCCTCCCTGATCTGAGTGCTGGCATCTAGCAGACATCCTGCAAGCCTGACTGAGCAGTTTGGCCCTAGCAGAGCCTAGTTTTCTAGGGAGATAAATGGCTCTTTTCAGTGGCTCTCAGCTCTGACTGGTATCCTGCCCAGTGATAGGTGAAGCACTGCCAAATGGAAACTCACCAGGTGTAGCCTCCTAATTGAAGCCTGGGGTCCTGTGTGAGGGTGCCAGTGAAGGGACTAGGGGGCTAGCATATGTTAATGCTTGGAGACTGATTTCCAAGTGGATGCAGGGAGGTTCCTGGCTGGCTGACCAAACAATTGTGTGAAAACAGGAAGGATGTCAATATTATGGAAGAAAATATGAAACAACCTTTGCAACATGGTTTGCAGATCTCCTTCCAGAGATCTCAATAAATTGGTGCTGAGTGATCAAGACAGGTATGTAGTCCTAGTCCCAGCTCTGACTGTAATATGCTGTGTTGACCTTCAAGTCAGCCCTCTGGGCCTCCATCACCTCACCTGAGGAACAAAGGTCATTCTAAGAAATGCATCCCCCAACTATATAGTCTATTTTTAGCTGAAGACTATCTGTTGGTAGGGGTGAGGGTCAAGTGGAATGAGGGTCTCCTTTCTCAGGAAAGCATATTGGCCATTGAGGGTCTGTGGGCATCTGACATGCTGACAAGTTCTCTTGTCAACCAATGATCTTTAGAGATATCACATAGGGAATTTTAAGGATTACAGTGATAGGATGCACTGTGAGCTCTTTCTGTTTCTGATGATGAATTGAAATTTCTCTCCATCACCAGTACCTTTGACTCTGCTTAGTTGCCCCAATAGCAAGGTTTGGGTCAATATAGTTTATCTCTAGAATCATGGTGACTGCTGGGCCAGCGCCAGTTCAAGATTTAGGTTTGTTCTGGGCTAGACCAGCAGCACCTACTTATTTTAGGATTTCCTAGAACCATTCCAAGCCTATCCTACAATAAATTCAAACTCTGAAAGGACATATTTCCCCCGCCCCCAATCTTTTTTTTTTCTAGGAAGATTTAGAAAAAATTTCTTGAAGCCTGATGATAATCAGGGGTAAAAGAGGTGTTTTGTGTGTGTGTGTGTGTGTGTGTGTGTGTGTGTGTGTGTATACTCACATATGCATGTGAGCAGGCTGTCATGTGTGCCCACTGTATTGTAACCTGAGGAGTGGTGGAATGTTGTGCGTGGGCAGGGAGGATGAGAGGTGGGAGAAGCACAGCCAGAGCAACCACAGGAATTTAGGTGGTACTTATTTTCCAAACCATGTGATGTCTAGTGGGAAAGCCTACCAAGCACTGAGGGGGACCTCTAAGATTAGGAGGTGGGTAGGCTGTTGACTTCCTTTGCTTATTTTCAGAAATGTCCCAGGGAAGTTTTTCTTCTGCCCCTTGGGTACATACAGATATCCTTCGGAAGGACTTGAACTCAAGGTAGGTGAGGTGCTCGGATAGCTCTTCTGGTTCCAGATGGTCAAAGAGAAGGGAGACTTTCCGTTTCTTGCTGGTGTTTGATTTTATCCTTTGAGTAAGTTTCCTGGACCAGTCGCGGGAATTGCTTTAATTGGGAAATGTGAAAGGGAGAAGATGGGGAAAAAAAATAAATCAAAATTGCTTTTTGCAAGTAAATAGTAAATCCATTAATGTTTCCCACAAGAACATACAAAGCACCATTAGCTAACTTGCTTTGGCTAAAACAGTGCATTAACAGTTTCCTCAAATCATTTTTTTTTTTTCCCTTTTTGTCTTTTTTCGTGACCAGCAACGGATCGCAACCCTCAGTGTCGCGCCCGTACCGGACCGGGACCGGCTATGGGATCGCAGCCCTCGGTGTTGCTCCCGCACCTCGCTCAGCCAGTGAGCGGCCGGTCTGTATGTGGGATCCGAACCCTCGGTGGGAGCGCCGCCGCGCTTCCCAAGCGGCGCACTGTAGCAGTGCGCCACCGGGCCGGCCCCCTCAAATCATTTTTTCTATTGCAGCAACCAGGAAGTCTTGCTGGTTTTTAATGAGCCATCTGAATGTTCCATGGGGAACAGAGTAGATGAATTTACTTTAAGGTAGTGGGAAGGCCTGCGTCTCAGGTATCGGTCACAGAGTCCTTGCCTTTGGTCCTGGCTTCCTTGTATAGCTCCTGATATGTCTGCTCTCTCCATTCCTCCTGGGTTCCTACACTCTCATGAGGATGATAGGGACTCTATCCTATTGGAAATCTCAAGGTAATAGGGTAGTTTTCAGGACAGAAGAGCTCAGAGAATTACAGAAAGAAGCTGTCATGCTGCAGGGAATCACATTTAGGAACATGTGATCACTCCGGGCAGAGATGTGCCTTTTCCTCAAATGTCCCCAGTCACTGAAATGACCAAAGAAGCCCAGCTGACTGTAGAGTGCCCCCTGCCCCCGTATTTTCTTGTAATCAACCTATGTGTTTCTTACTCAGTTCCAATTTCCTACACAAAGAAATCAAAGGGAAACAGCCCAGTTTTGAAAGGCAGCAGGTTGCAGATTACTCTAGATAAAAGGATTCTGTGGTCAAATGAGTTTGGGAAATGCTACAAATTCTATAGCCCCCTTGACCAATGAGCATATTACAGACTCTGAAATGCACTGAAAAAGGAAAATTTAATCTATCACTCCTCAAATATATCTGGCCAGGTAATATCACATAGACTAATTCCTAAGGAACATACTGTGGAAAATATTGGTAGAAGAAAGTCAGCTAGAATATATTGGGACAAGGAGACATGGATTTAAGAAGTGCCTTGGGGGCTGGCCTGGTGGCGCACTGCTACAGTGCGCCACTTGGGAGCACGGCAGCGCTCCCGCTGAGGGTTTGGATCCCACATACAGACTGGTTCCTGCTCACTGGCTGAGCAAGGGGCGGGCGCAGCACCGAGGGTTGTGATCCCGTTGCCGGTCCCGGTCCGGTCCGGGCGCAACACTGAGGGTTGCGGTCTGTTGCCGGACACGAAAAAAGACAAAAAGGGAAAAAAAAAAAAAAAAAAAGAAGTGCCTTGGGCACTAGGTTCTTTATCTTTAAAATGAAGAAGCTGTTACTTTGAAAAGTCTCTTTATCTTTCAAGTTGTATAATTCTAAGCAGAGAAGTACAGAGAATTCAAACTGATAAACAGATTTGGGGGGGGGGGCTATGGAATCTGATCTTGAAATCATTTCTATGTGGCCAAGGCATGATGCAGCTTCTGCTCTGCCACTAACTTAACTAGCTTTGTGACCGCAGATGAATCACAATCTTGATGAGCCTCAATTTTCCAGTCAGAAAAATCAGGATGTTGGATGAGATGGTCTCTAGAGTACGTTTCAGTTCTAGAATTCTATATCTTAGGGATATGTACTATTCCAAAATATAGCATTCACGTTGTGAAAACCTAAGCCTACAAAGTGTGCATGCACTCCTTTCCCCCAAATTAGGAAAGACAGTCCATTTTTCATAGTGGGCCAACCTCATAAGAAAGAAATCCAAGAAATAATTTGCAATATTCCTGAAATCCCTTCCAGCTCTGGAAGTCTAAGTGATTTGCATATACATCCAAATATGTTATAAACCCTCTGCTGAACACATTTTTCAGCAGTCTCTTCAAGTTCAGAGGGATGCCTGCTGGTATTAGCTGCTGAAGAAGCCTGAGTTCAGTCACTGTACTTTCAGCTTCTCATGACTGGGGGTAAATTTTAGTCAATATCTTGCTACCTGATTTTTTTTGACTGAGGCTTACTATCATTATTATTATCATTTTGCTCTTGGATATTAGTCACCTAGAACTTTATCACCAGGGAGCTTCTCTACTTTTAAATGTCAAGCTTTCACTTTGGTGAGGCAATATGAACTTGTCTGTCTGAGGGCTTCTCAGAGTAGTGAAAGAGAGCAGTAGGCACCACTGGGAGTCAGAAGCTTAGCAAAACAGCTGGGATTGTACAACAGGAGGAAGGTGGTTTCAAAAGATTAGTCAAAACGTTGACACTCACATTTGAGTTGTGTCAATTAGGCGGCAGTGTAACTCCTCACCATTAGCTTTCACCAGTTCCTGAAACTCCTCCATAGTGTTTATCAAGCTGGCATCCATTTTAAACATGATCCAGAATTCTGTTATCCAGTACCTACATGGAAGGAGTTAAAAAACACCATCCAATACTGAAGCCCAGTATTCACAATCTGGTGGGTTTCCAAAGGAATTTGCTGGCACAAAGAGGTTCAGAAAGAGACTGAGGCTGATTTGTCCTTCTATATAGAGGGAGCTGGGGTGGGGGCAGAAAGGGAACAAAACCACCTACTGCCAATCTTCTGTCCCTCCACATACAGAATGCTTTGATAGGATAAGGCACATCATAATCACAGGTGCTGTGATGAAGATTTAGGCACAATCATATGCATCAGAGATAATTATAGAGAAGTATAGACAAACCAAATGTCTAAAAATGGGGCAATGTATCTGTAAAATTATGCTTTATCATGTTAGAATATATGGCCATTAATAATAATGTTTACAAAAAGTCTTTAATGACTAGAGAAGATTCTTTTGATATAGGACATAAAACTTTATATATATATTTTTTGATTTCAACTATGTTTTTAAAAATCTGCATGATAAAAAGACAAAGGAAATATTCCAAAAATATAGTTGGATATGAGTGGCTATTATTATAGTTATATTCTTTCCTGAATTTTCAAACTGTTCTACAATGAACTATATTACTTTTATATTTAGTAATAAAAATAAATAAGAGAGTCTTCATTATCTCTGTATCCCTCTCTTAACATGGTTTGATACCAAAATGTTATAAGAATAAATTATAAAAATAAAAAAAATTGGTATAAAATATTAAGCTCAAGTATACAAAAAAAACAAAACAAAACACTGTGTTCTGTTGAAGAATTTCCAGTATTAAGGACTGCTGTTTCCAGTCTGTCCAGAGGCATTCTGTGGATGGTCAGGAAGGGAAAGGCAGGAAGGACCAGGAAATAACTAGAGTCCTCTTGCTTCAGCCTTTTATTTCACCCTGCTCCACAAAGTCTCCAAGTTCATGAAGAAATATTACCTTACAAAATAGCAGATCTTCAGGCAAAGCCCTGGTGAATTCTTTGCCAAGGCATCCTTATAAGTAGAGCTGTGGTTAAGGGAAATGGAAGACTTTGTTACAGAAACCCAACAACTTTTCATCTTTGGAAGTATTTGCTAAAACTACTCCCCAAAATAATTTTTTTTAAAAAATGAAAATGTGATGCTTTATCTTTCTGGCCACAGAATAAAAACCACTTTGATATATGTAGGTGTATGCTTATTATCACCTAGAAGGGCAATGACAGTAATTTTCTCTCCAGCCCAGGCTGAAATGGCTTATGGGAGGGGGCTTCACATCTCTTCTGCAGAAGTAGAACTAGGAAGTCAATAGTGTGGAAAGGTCCCTGCCCAGGTGACTTATAAGAAGTGAAGAAGGGGTAAATGGTCTCTTGCCTGTGCCCAAGAGACTAGGAGTCCAACTCAGACAAGGTAAAAAGTCCCTTTTGTCTTTTAAAATATTTCCAGTAACAATTTGTGCAGTGAATTATAAGAGAAAGAAATACATATTCAGATATATTGTCATGATAATTATGAGTAATGTGAAAATTATAATACGAGAGTACTTCAAAAAGTTTGTGGAAAAATAGAATTAAAAGATGATATGAATCTTTCTATGAACTTTCTGAAGTACCCTCATATATATACCTAGAAGATTCAGTAGATTGAAATTTTAAGTTGTAATGTCAAGTTAGACAAAGCCATGTGAATAATCCAAAATACAACTGGAGATCATCTTAAGGATCCTTATCATTGTGAATATTCCAAGAATATGAAAGAATAGCAAGATTTCATCAAGTTCACATGTCTTTAGAGCCACATGGAAAGAATAAATAAATATTCATTTATTTTAAGAGTCAAAGAAATGAGAAATCCAGTCTAGTGATGAACCTGGGTGGGTCATGCATCTTCATCAACACACTGAAGAATAGGGCTGTGTGCCCCACAAGGCCATGCCCTCTTCTCTTTCTAAAAGCTGCGCCAAAAGAACTGCGATACAAGCTGCAGTGCACTCCAGCGGGGCCCACGAGAGGACTCCAGTGAGCAACCTCCAGAGCTCTCACTCGCCTGGGGCTGGAACTTCTGTCCTTCAGTGGTATGGTATGTGCATTTTAATAGTAGGAAAAAAAAGTGAAATATAGAAAAGTAAAGGAGAGTCAAAATCATAGTACTGAATGTTTTTTTTTATTAGGAAGGAATCTGTGCATTTTGAAATTTTATATGCCTGTAATGTTTAGGAGCATATTAGAATAATAGTCTTAAAACTTCAGTTTGTAATATATAATTAAGTGCTTTGGACTTCTAGTTTTAAATTGAAACCTTATTAAGTTTATGCATCGCTTTGGAACATCTAAGATAACATTAGCTTTACTATTTATAACTTTAATCAGAGTTATAAAAAATTGTTAGAATTCAGGAAGGTATCTGAAGCATTTAAAAATAATCTAAAATGTAAAATGCATAATTGTAGTTTAAAACCATTGAAAATATTAAATTAACATTATTCAAATGAATTAAACATTTCTAAAGGTTCCTTAAAAATGCTTGCTGAAACATGCTAGACTTATAGAAAGAATAATAAGATTTGCAAGCTAAACTTGAAACCCTAAAGAACTATGGTTGTGAAATTTGTAATTTTAATAGAATTAATTCTAATTAAAAAACTTAAATTTTAACAGATTTACTGCCCGTAAAATCTGTCCTTGAGATCAGAGCAATAAAGCAAAATAAAACAAAAACAAAAAACTCAAAACTGCACACATCAACAAAGGTAATCAAAATAAAAATGAGCCCCGATGCCTGCCTTTCTCCAGGTATAAAAGGCAGAAGTAAGGATGAGGTGGCTTTACATTTCTTCATGCCGTATCACTAAGAAAATGCATTGCTTCAGTGCAGAGAGATTCGAGCATAGGGCAATTCTAGAAATATGCTTCTCAGAGTCTATATTTTTATTATTTGTTCTAGTTGAAATTTTTATTCTTCCTTTTTAAAGGGGAAGACACAAAAACCACACTTTTAAAACAACTAAGAGTATATATTAAATCAACATGGTGACTTTTACTGTGGTGTTTACCTTCCTCCCAGTGCTACTTATCCTTCCCTTCAAATGTCTATTCTGACATTGGCTGGGTGTGGTGTAATGTTATCTCTGTAAGTCCAGTCATATGAGTCTACATATGAGTGCTGAGCTGGGAGGGCAGTGGGTGGGGGGTCGCATTCAGAAAGGCAGAAACCTCCCGACGTCATTAGAGCCCCTATGCCATGGCAAAGGCAGCTCCCAAAGTGAGGCAGGGCACCCTCTTTCTCACTTTGGAGATGAAACAAACACCCAGGCTGAGTAATGAGAGGCTCAGGAAGCTGCTGATCTCTGGGGTAAACTTCACTGTTTGCTGAAAGCCTCAGACTCCACACCTTTTTCTGCTCTTCATAACTAGTCCAGTTCTGACTGTACTTCTCAGGCATCTCAACTACTCAAAGCATGTTTTTAAATTTCTCTCTCTCTCTCTTTTAACAATGGAAACACAGGAAGCCATCTGAGCTATTTAACTAAAAATTCTATTACTTCCAGGTCAGAGAACAGGGAAACTAAGCGTGAAGGGAAGAACCATTTTGCCTTCAATGTTTAACCTGGCTGTCTATTACAGGGAGTCTCATTTCATACTCCCTTCTTAGAATCCATTCCCCACCCCAGGCTACTTTTTACCCTGAGCAAAGCCTAGGTATCTCAACTAAAAGTTCTGGTAGATACAGAAAAAGTAACTCAAGGGGCCGGCCCGGTGGCACACTGCTACAGTGCGCCGCTTGGGAAGTGCGGCGGCGCTCCCGCCAAGGGTTCGGATCCCACATACAGACCGGCCACTCACTGGCTGAGCAAGGTGCGGGCGCAAGACCGAGGGTTGCGATCCCGTTGCCGGTCCCGGTCCGGTACGGGCGCGACACTGAGGGTTGCGATCCGTGGCCGGTCACGAAAAAAGACAAAAAGACAAAAAAAAAAAAAGAAAAAGTAACTCAATGGTTTGCACTCATAATAATGCAACATTTATTGTGTCCTACCATGAGGTGGCCACTAAGCTAGAGAACAAAGATAAATAAGCCTTGATCCCTGCCTCCAAGGCACACAGTCTAGTGGGGAGACAAGATGCAGATAGGTAACTTGCATTACAGTGTATGTACTTTTAAAATGTATTTTAAAATATATTTACATTTTTTCTTAAGGTAATTTGTAATATAGTTACTTTTTCAGTACCCTTGTAACCTTTTATATTACTAACACAATTCAAAGCACAGCAACCGAACACAAAGGTTTTGCAGTTTACCTGAAACAGTCACCTACAAAGACCAGAGTACATAGGTTTTACATTGCAAAACGTACAGACTGAAGTTTAGGTAGATACATTTATTTAGCTAACAATAAAAACACTTCACACTCTCTACAGTCGAAGACAAAAAGCTTTTCAAGGCAGATCACATCCAGGCCAAGGATATGAGAGACACTTTGACTTAAGCAATACAAAACAAAGTCATAGGAATTCAATAGATTTTCAATCAAGAATACTATTTTTAAACACTAGAAGTGTTTTTAAAAGGGGGGGAGGCCTGAAAAAGTCAGGAAAGGCTTCACAGATGGGTCTTGAAAGAGAGAGTTGGCTAAGAGGCAAAGAGGGAAGAAAGGGCTTTTCAGGCATAGGAATTGTGAGAGGCCCCATTATGTGTCTGGTATGTTGAGAAGTTCAGTGTGGAGGGGAAAGGGTTTCTGAGAGAGCTGCAGGATGGGGCAGGAAGGACTCACTGGGGTCAGACTGTGAAGGGTCTCTTCCTGGCAAGCTGAGGAGTTTGACATGATCCCTGTAGTTTTCAGAGGCTCTGAAGGAATGTTCTACTCAATTTGCTTTTTAGGAAAGAACTTCAGGAGTGAATAATGAATGGGGGTAGAGATGTAGATGAGAAGACCAGTATGGGACAGAGGTCTAGAAGAGAGACTACAATGACTTGGACTAAGGCAGTGGCATGTGAATGGAGAGAAGAGACCATATAAGAATCATTTCTGGAGTAGAAACCCTAGGACTGGGTGACAGACTCTGTAGGAGGTGAAAGGCAGAGAGGAGTCAAGAGCACTTCTGAAGTTTCTAGCTTAGGCAGTTGGACAGGTGATAACACCATTAACTGAGATGGAAAATGGAAAGACAGGTGGCAAAGCAGAATCAGTGCAGTAGTAGTTGGGGCTGGGGTAGTGAGCTAATGAACATATTAAGATATTCGAACATATTATGATTGAATTGTCAGTAAGACAAATTAGTCCAAAACTTAAATATGGTTCAGGTTAGAGAAATTTAGACTTGAAAGTATCATCAGCACAGAAGGATGGAGGTGGAAATCCTGGTGAGAAATCACCCACAGAAAGAAAACCAGGACGTTATCCTGGGATTTAAGTGGTGCTCAAAGAAAAAGCTAGATGAAAAGCTAAAGAGGGACAGCTGAGAGGTTGGAGAGTCAGGAGAGTGCAGTTCCGGGAGCCTTGGAGGAAGAGCTGGGAGAGGCAGGGGGTTGTCAGTATTGCCCCATGCTTTGGGGAGGGCAGTGTAAACAAGGGTGGAAAAAGCCACTGGGCTTCACAGTTAGGAGATCACTAGTGACATCAGGGGAAAATCTGAGTACTGGGGTAAGGGCCACAGTTGAATTAAGGAGTAAGTAGGAGTAAAGAGATTGGAGATAGTTAGTACAGACTATTTTAAGATATTTTCATATCAAATTTCTAACCCCAACAATGGAATGAAGGGGAAGCAGGGTTAAGAGTTTATTTTTTGGTTGGGGAGAGCTGAGCATGATTTAGGCTGAGGAGCAGGGGCCACTGAAGAGGCAGAGTTTGAAAGTATAGGAGAGAGAGAAGATTGCTGGTGGAGTGTGACTCTATGAGAAAGGGGCAGGAGGATGGGAAGGGGAGAATGGGACCCATCCACTGTGTGGGCAGCCACCCAGTGGTGCACCAAGGGCAGACACTCCAAGGACTATTTCATCCTTAGGCCAACAAACAATTTTTTAGGGAGGAATGTTTAATCACTGACATTGTTTAGAATCACTGGGACATGGAGTTAAATACAAAGCAGACAGATTCTGAGTTGGTTTTATTATGGGTTTAAAATTCTCTGCAGATGATGTCCATACTTATTACCTGAACCTGTTATTAAGTGGACCGTTCCCAATGCCCCACCCTTAGTATGCCTCTGGAAACATCTCCTTTGAAATGAGAGGTAAAGATTTATGAATAGGTTTAGACAAGTGATTCTGTTCTGATGGCTTTTATTTTTTCTACGTGCCCAAAGATGAAAAGAGAGGAGTTAGGAGAGTGCTAAAGGATTAGAGCAGCCACAAGTCGTGACTCAGTACCAGCGACCTGGGCACCAGGAGCTAAACGGTCTCACCCCACCTGCAGCCTTTTTTTTTCTTGGGGGCAGCAGCTTATAGTGTCATCAGTGAACAAGAAAAAGCAGGCACTTTCTCCAACTGCTTGATTCACAGTCCATAGAAAGTAAAAATCCAGCAGGGTTTGCTTGGCACATAGTCAGTGCTTCTGCTTGAAGCAATAAGGTACCAGCAGATTCTCCAGATGCTGTGGCATTGGGAAGCTTTCTTCAGAACCTGGGGAAGGTTGAAGAATTGGACAGGAAAGCCAGAAAAAAAATGTATCATTTGAGTCATGCTTGTGCCCTTGGTCATTTGCACAGGATAAATATGAATTTTGACTACAGGAAAAGTATTTTTTACTAGCAAGAGATACTGAGGTTAATGTTTGCATGTTGATTTCTCTGACCAGCCCCCAGAGCAATCAGGATAAGTAATATTGCCCCACCCAACAGAAGATACATGAACATGTATGTATGTCCATGCACACGCACACACACACAATACCCCTGAAAGGAGGTATGAACTCATTTGCCACTAGTCCATTCTAAACCAATCAAAACAAAAGCGTACTTCAAATTTCAAACTTTTTCAATGAATCCATTTTGGGATTGCCAATCATGGTGCTAAAGGATATAGGGTGATGACTTTTTGGAGCAGCTCCGCAGAGGAGATGATAATCCGGTGCATGGTCAGCATGACACGCAACAGTTGGTTACTTCGACACAGGTTTCCATCTGCATCTGAAAATGTAAACAGCAGCATCTGAGTCAGGCCCCGGGAGAAATTAGTTAGTTGGTGGGACACCTGGCAATGGCCATTCACCCAGTCAGGGGTGAATGGCCAGGGGGTGGTGCTTTTCCTCCACTGCCCCTAGCACCACACATCGCTTCTTATTTGCTTTTCTTAACCTCCTGCTACATTCTCCCCTCCCAAAGTGTCAATTTTGATGCTCATGAAACACCCCACCCCAAAGGAGGTAGAATTTTGAGAAAGGAATAAAATCTGCATCAGTACACTTGAGTCTCTATTGAAAGCAGAAGCAGATCCAGGTTTTGTGGGCCCTAAAGTTTGTATAATTGGTGGTGGTGGTGGTGGGTGCCGGGGGCAGGGTGGCAGGGGGTGGTGCTCAGGGAGAGACCTCTCTAGAGTCAGAGTGAAAAAAGTTACAGTTTTAATAGATTGAAGTTAAAATATACCTGTACAAATTTTATGAAAACAAATGACCATATAAATACATTTCTAGGGCCCTCCCATCGCTTAGGAAAGGGCTCATTCAAGGCGCCTTGAAATGTAAGCTTCCCTAATTTTATGGTTAATAAACCTCTGGGTGGAAACAAAGGAGGAAGACTATAGGCAAATGCCACATTTGAAGATTGTCAGTGGATTACAAGCAACCATGATGATTTATATTGAAGAGCAAGGTGAGCAAGGTATTCCAATTCCCAGCTGGTACCAAATAATAGGATGCGTTATATACACTGGCACTGGGTATAAAAATCCCCTTCAGTGGTTTTCAAAATCTTTTAAACATTGATGGCATGAAGAGTCAGGGGCTGTGGTCATTCACTGTCTTTCCCCATGAATTGCACTACCCATCTCCCTGGCCAGTTGGCTTCCAGTTGGGTTCAGCCACCGGGAAGCATCAGAAAGAGATGGGGGAAGAGAGAAGTCAGAGATATTTCTTTCTTATTCCCTCTCTGCTTTGACACCACTTAGGGAAGTAGCTACATGTTTCTTCAGTGATGATCCCACTGGTTGTCCCTTCCTTTACGGCTCCAATTCCCACCGGGATCCAACAATATTAATCTCCTTTGACCCACTGGCCAGCCTTAAGGGTGGTGATGACTTCCGACTGTTGATAGTCTCTGGGTGCAACATGCTCATCTCTGTAAGTATGCCCTTCATGAAAGTGTCTTCATTTATTCAAGATGAGTGAATTCTGTTCCTGGCTGGGAATTTAAATGTTTCAGAGGGAAAGTATCAAATGAAAGAAAATACATGAGTTGTTTTATCATCGGTATTGCTCTTTAAAATACATGACACACAAGGGGTTTTCATTTTTGTTCTGTTTCAAGTGTACCAAATGGTATACGAAGGACATAGTGCGTTTAGGCTCAGGACTCAAAAGTCCTGGCTTCTCAAATGATGAACTAAAGTCACAGTTCATTGAGAAAATATAAGTAAACTGACAGGATCTCTCACCTTCCCATTGCCAAATCCACCAATTTACTGGCATCCTGTTGCCCTTCCTGCCTGCCCTCTCATTGCCACAGAGGCTTTTCAGAGGTGGACACTACCACTGTGCTCTGGGCCTCTCCTTTCTCAAGGATGTTGATCATGCATCTGTCACCTTTCTCTCCTGCAGTATCAACTTCTACTCTCTCTACTGGTTTACTTCCATTGGTATTCAAATATGCCCCAGTATCTGCCATTAAAAACAAAATGAAATAAAACAGAACCTTAAACTCTCAGCCTCTCTAGGGACCTCTCCATTTCTCTGTTCCCCTTTACAGCAAAACTTCACTGAATGGGAGTGAATGGAGGCTTTCTCACCTCCCATTCACTTTTTAACCATTCCACTTTGACTTCTGTCTCCATTATTCCACTAAATCTTTTATTTTCAAGGTTACCAATCATTTCCACAGTGCCAAATCCAATAGTTATTCAGTTACTCAGTCTTCATCTTACTTTATGATGCATTGCATTCAACCCAACACAACCCAAGTAGATGACTCTCTCTTCCCTGGAACACTTTCTCCTCTTGGCTTTTACAACATCACGCTCTCTCAGCTTCTCTCTCAAGCTCTTCTTCTGTCTCCTCTTCCTCTGCTTAGCTTTTAAATGTCAGCATGCTCTGTGGCTTAATCCTCCCACTTCTTTTTTCTAACAATTTTTAAAATTTAAAACTTCTTAACTTTTAAATTAAAAAAATAGTGGCCTCATCTAGTCTTTAGGTTAAAATACCATCTATTTGCTGATGAGTGCCAATTTATATCTTTAGCCTTGACCACCAAATTAGTATGTCCAGCACCCTACTTGGCAAGTCCACTTAGATGTCTAAGTTCAAGCCAAAGCCATTCAAACAAAACTCTTGACCACTCCCTCCCCCCTGTTCATTCCTCCCCCATTATTCCTCATCTCCAGAAATGGCACCAGCAACCACCCTTTCAGTTACCCAAACTAAAAACCTTCACTTCTCACTGCCCCTCACATCCAATCCATCAGGAGGTCTTGATTTTACTTCCAAAATATATTTCAAGCCTGTTCATTTCCCTCCATCATTGCAATTGTCCTAGCTGTAGACACCAAGATGCAATGACCTAATTGACCTCCCTGTTTCCACTCTTGTCCACCTACAATCCAGTCTCCACAGAGCGGCCAGGAGTCAGCCCCTAAAACCCATAAATCAGGTTGTGTGCTTAATACACATCAATGGATTCCATTATACAGTACTTGGAATAAAACAAACTCCTTATTGTGGCCAATGGAGCTCCACACATCTTGGCCTCTGTTAATACTGCTCTCTTCATTTCGTACCGTATTACTTCTCTCCACACCTCTGCTTATACCTCAAACACTCAAAGCTTATTTCTACCTCATTGCCTTTGCATTTGCTGTTCCCCTCAATGTGGTCTTCTTGTGGCTCATTCATGTCATTAAGTGCTCTATTATAATGTCACATTCTTAGAGAGGTCTTCCTTAAACTACCTAAGGTAGCCATTACCCTGCCTGAGTTTCTTCATAGCACTTATCACCATCTGAAGTTATCTGGCTTATTTATTTAATTTTTTATTTTCTGAATCTCTAATAGAATATAAGCTTTATAAGACATGAGTCTTGTCCATTTTTTCCACAGCCATATTTCCAGGGCCTGGAACAGTGCTGACAATGTGGCAGGTACTCATTAAATATTTGTTGAGTAAATGAGTGAACTGTATCAAATAGGAAACCCCTTTTCATGTCTCTTTGGAAATTGAGTTTGCTTTTGTCATTGGCTACTTCACTGATGATATATAATCTACATACTTATTTTTTTCTTGGCCACAGTTTGCAAAAGAAACTCAAAGTTTCTATGTGGTGACTCATTTTTTATGAAGTATATACATCTAGCCTGGTTATAGTTTTGTAGATCTTTCATTAATTCTTCTAAACTTATTCTCTGGTAAGGTAGGGTTAGTATGGCCTTGTTTATATTTTCTGGCCCACATAATTTCTGTAATAATTATCTCTTGCCACAAAAATTCTTATTCTACCCCCAAACTCAGTGACTTAAAACAGTAATCATTTATTTTTGCTCAAGTGTCTGTGAGTTGGCTAGACTTTGCTGGGGGCCCTAAACCACATGCCTCTCATCTTGCTAGGTTAGTGGGGGTAGGTTCTTCTCATGGTTACATTAGGACACTGCAGGGTAACTGGAAATATCCAAGGCATCTTAAGCCTAGGCTTAGAGCTGGCATGCATCACTTCTGCCTCATTCTGTTGGCCAAAGCAAGTCACATTGCTGAATCTAAAGTCAAAGGGCAGAAACTTCAAAGTCACATGGAAAGCATCACTGACATAGAGAAGATTAAAAAAAAAATGGGGTGAAAATGGGGGGGGAATAATACAATCAAACCTATTACAGTTACAGGGAGTGACTTTTCAAAGCAGCATTTGGCAATATAGTTTTTATGATATACCATTCCTCATGGGTAGTAGTGTTCATATTCCTGAACACTATGGTGAAACTATGGTGAAAAGCAGAAGAAACTATAAAATATATGTGTAGGGTATGCATTAGGATGTTCACATGAGCTATGGACACAGGTCTAGGCTTGTTCAGTATGACAGCATCTAAGACTTGCTATCTCTACTTTCCTTTATGGCTGTCTAGCATCTTTCCAGGGATGCTCATATATGAGAGAAAGGAGCTTTAAAGTATCCTGGATGAGATCAAAACTAAGTGCCGTATGAAAGGATGAAGGAACTAAAAGGGTTTACCATGGAGAAGACTCAGGGGAGATGTTAGTATTGTCTTCAAATATTTGAAGTGTTATTTGTGCAAGACAGTTTAGATTTTTTCTGTGGGGGCCACAAAACTAGCACCAGAGCAGATGGATAGAAGTTACAGGAGACAGGATTGGGCACAACATGTCATAAAAAATCCTCACCAACAACAGAAGCCTTCTTATCATGAAGGTATTCAAGAGGAGGCGGGAGAGGAACACTTAAGAAGCATAAATGTAATTGACACAGCAGGCATCATTTATTGACACCCTACTAAATACAAGGGGCTGTACTAAGCACTTTAACAATGTTATTTCCAATTTCCACAACCCTGCAATGATGGCACTGTTCATAATTTACAGGTGAGGAAAATTAAAGCACAGAGAAATTAGGTAATTTTTTCTAGGTCAAAGAGACAATAGGTGGAAGAGCTAGGATCTGGCTGGCCCCAGGTCTGTTTGATTCCAGAACCCCTGCTCTTTCCACTACACCTGGCTGCATTCTGCATGGCCATTTTTTGGAACAGGGGACTCAAATGTTAAATGGGAAGCTAAAGTAGATGAGCTTTAAGAACTCTCCCAGTCCTTATGGCTACAAGTCTAAGAGATGCCACTGGGATAATGAGTCAGAGCCAACGTTCGTTTGGCAGAATAGCTTTTGTACTCTGGTGATTTCTGGAAAACTCTTGTAAACCTTGGTTGATTGATATTAATCTTAAAAGTTGCCTTCAAGAACCCAGGGTGCTATGCCTGAG